AGCCGGAATTACAGGCATGCGCCACCACACCCAGCTGATTTTTTGATTTATTGTAGAGATGAGGTTTCACTGCCCAGGCGAGTCTCGAACACGCGGGCTCAGGCAATTCACTCACCTCAGCCTCCCAAAGGCGCGGGATTACAGGCTGAGCCACCGAGCCCGGCTCCAGGAATCTTTTAATTTCTGCTTTGATTTCACTGTTGACCCAGTAGTTGTTCAGCATCATGCTGTTTAGTGTCCATGTCTTTGTGGGTTTTGGAGAAATGTTGTTGATGTTGGTATACATTTTTATTCCACTGTGGTCTGAGAATGTACATGGCAAGATTCCAAACTTATGGAATTTGTTTATGCTTGATTTATAGCCAAGGATCTGATCGATCTTAGAGTACGTTCCATGTGGTAATGAGTAGACTGTATATTCTGTGGTTGTTGGATGGAAAAATCTGTAGGTATCTGTTAAGTCCATTTTGTTGAATGTTAAGTTTAGCTTCTGCATCTCCTTGTTGATTTTTTCCCTTGATGATTTATCGAGGGCTGTTAGTGGGGTATTCAAGTCCCCTGCTATAACAGTGTTAGAGTTAATATCTTTTTTTTCAGTTTACCAATGGTTGCTTTATAAATGCTGGTGCTCCAGTGTTGGGTGCATATATGTTTAGGATGGATATTTCTTGTTGATGGATTGAATCTTTTGTCATATTATAGTGTCCATTTGCATCTTTTTAAATTTTGGTAGCTTAAAGGTTGTTTTGTATGGTATTAAAATCGTGACTCCTGCCTTGTGTCTGTGATCCATTTACCTGGAAACTCATTTTCCATCCTTTAACTTTGAGTCTGTTTGCATACCTTGTAGTGAGATAAGTCTCCTGGATACACCAAATAATTGGGTCATGGATTCTTATCCAGTTTGCCATTCTGTGTCTTTTCAGTGGTGCATTTAGTCCATTCACATTCAGGCTGATTATTGATACATGATTTTTATCCCTTATAAAGTTTTTTCTTTGTATCCTTGTTTTCTTTTGGATTTGGAGTTGATGTATATGTGTGTTTTAAGCTTCTTGATGTATATGTGTGTTTTTAAGCTTCTTGTATTCTCTGATGCTTCTGTGCTCTGCCATTCTCTTGGGAAGTGTCTGGTTGTTCTTTTTTCTTCTTTCTACTATGCTTAATACCTTTTTAAGTGTCTCCTGTAGAGTTGGACTGGAAGTTGCATAACCTCTTAAGGAGTGGCTGTCTGGGAAGGATTTCAATTCTCCATCACCGATGTAGCTGAGGATAGGAAATTCTTGGTTGAAATTGTTTATTTTTGATGACTTTGAATATAGGGCTCCAGTTCCTTCTTGCTTGTAGTATTTCAGTCAATAGGTCTGCTGTTATTCGGACTGATTTGCCCCAGTAGGTAGTCTGACCTTTCTCTCTGGCTGCCTTTAGGATTTTTTCTTTAGTGCCTACTTTGTGTAGGTTAATTACTATGTGTCTAGGGGTTGGTCTTCTCATTTGATGTCTCGTAGGAGTTCTCTGTATCTCTTTTGCTTGGCTGGTCATATCTCTGGTGAGATGGGGAAGGTTTTCTTGGATTACCTCCTGGAATACTTGCTCCAAGTTGTTCTCCATTTCCCATTCTTCTTCTGGGATACCAATCAGGCATAGGTTCGGCCTCTTGATATAATCGCACATCTCTTGTAGGCTTTATTCTTTCTTTCTGAGTCTTCTTTCCCTTTTTTTTACAGATCAGGTTAATTCCACATTCTGGTCTTCAAATTCTGAGACTGTTTCTTCAGCTAGCTTAATTCTGCTTTCCATGCTTGTCATCTTATTATTTCCTGGATGAAATTTTTGTATTGCCAAAATCTGTTACAAGTTATTTCAGTGTTGCATGTTATCTTTCTTGAGTCTTATTCACACTTTCCATCCATTCCCTAATCCCTGTCGTATTCTGGGGTCAGTCGTTGGTGACTTCCATTGTTTGGACATCAAGGTCTGATTTTTCAGGAGTTTTGTCTTGGGTATACTTGAAATTGCCTGTGGTCCTCCATTGGTTTTTCCTCATTTGTAACAGATCTCTTGTTTTTCTCTTTAGTTCTGTTATTCAGCATCAATGGGAGAGGCTTTCCCTTCTGATATTTGCTCAGATTTCTATTCTTCCCTGATGCAGCCTCTAGATTTGTTCTATTCTGAAAGAGGATGGTGAATGGGAAGCTCTGCTGTCTCGTGTAGTTTTTGAAATTAGAATAAACAGGGGATGGGGCACACTGATCTCTTTGAGTCCTTCCTCGTTCTTTTCTGGCCACACCTTTTGTCCCATGGCTGGATTATGGCGGGGGGCGGGGAGCCTGGGACTTAGCCCTTGTTAGGTCCCTCCGAAGTTTGTGGTTTCAGGATATTCCCTCTGGGTCACGAACAATACCTGAGTAGTTGATACGCCAGTCACAGAGATCAGGTATATTGTTCCACGGTGAACATGTCGGAGCACTTTCCTGCCCCCTTGTGATGGTGGTGGGGTGCCTCTCTTGTCCTTGTCTGTGGGACTTTACCTCTGTACTCCCTCTGCAGTCCCTGTTGCCTATGCCCTGCCAGGCTCTGAAGTGGTGAAATAAAGCCTTGAGCTGGCAGTCTCTCCTGTTGCAGTGGTGAAGCAGAGCCTGGGGTGATGGTCTTTCCCTGCCACTTTTTCACAGGTAAACTTTTGACCGTTTTAAAGGAAAAAAATGGCACTTGGCTTCTATGACCTGGAAGAGCCAGGTACCAAGTAGAGAAGCTGCAGCATCAGATGTTGCACCAGGGTCCTGGCCACTTGCTCACAAGCCCCCACTGAGACAGTCTCTCCCAGCATTTTCTTCCCAGGAAAGGTTTTGTTGATTTAAAAAAAAAAAAAAAAGGAAATGGCACTCGGCTTCATCCTGGGATTTGCTAGGGTCCACGTCCAGCAGCTATGGCACCAGCTGCTGCACCAGGAGAGCCCTGGCTGCTAGCTCCCTAGTCTTCAGTCAGCCATTCACACACCCAATCCCTCACCAGCACATACACAAAATTTTCCATACACTCATCCTCCCTCTCCTGGCAGTTTCTGGCTACTGCCGATCCCTTCCTTATAGTATTCCTAACTCCAATAAGAATGGCTACCATTAATAAAACAAAAACAACATGCTGGTGAAGATGCAGTGAAAAGGGAATGCTTCTACACCGCTGGTGGGAATGCAAACTAGTTCAACCTCTATGGAAAACAATGTGGCAATTCCTAAAAGCACGATAAATTAACCTTTCATTCGACCCAGCAATTCTCCTTCTGGGAATATACCCAGAGGAACTTAAATCACTGTACAGAAAAGATATTTGCACATGCATATTTACTGCAGCACTATTTACAATCGCAAAGACATGGAACTAACCATGCTGCCCATAAAAACTAGACTAGATACTAAAAATGTACAACATATACATGATGGAATATGACACAGTCATAAAGAACAAAATTATGGACTTCACAGCAACTTGAATGGAATGGATTTAGAGTATATCTTACTAAGTGATTTATCACAGAAACAAAGAACTGAGTACCACATGTTCTCACTCATAAGTGGACCCTGAACTTTTACCATTATACTATAAGATTTTAATTTTAAAATAGGATACTGTTGCTAGAACTATTTGAAAAGTTAGAGAGATGACATCTTCATATCCTTTCTGAGCTGTAATTTTCTGTATTTTAAAAAAATGGTTCAAGAACTTTATTTCTAAATGAACATATCTGGAAGATAGTCACAATATCAACAATAAAAATGTCTAAACATTTTATCTAAACTAGTAGTTTATAAATAACGTTGCTAGAAGACCTTGACAATGTATCAGGAGTTACCCACAGGACAGGTAAGGTTAGGTTAAACTAGTATAGTTCCTAGTCCCCTCTCTTTGCTTCAGGTTGAGAAGCTTATATTATCTGTTTGACACATTGGAATTTGACAAAAGATCTTATTTTTAAAAAGAGTTTAGGAGGAAAAAGAAGGTTTGGCAATCAGTGAAATAAAGGGTTTACCATTACATAAAACATCAGTCTGGTCACAAATGACATTTTAAAATACATTGTTACTTTATCTAAAACACTCTAGGAATTAATATCTTTGGGAGTTGTCATATTAGCAGAAACTTTTAAAAAATTTCCATTTAGTCTACCAATTTGAAACATTTTTTTCTTCCAACATCAGCATATCTAATGCCCCAAGAATGTTACCTTTTGAACAATAAGATAATTTACATAGTATTTTGGTGAAGACATTTTATCAAAATACTGCTTTTAAATTATGGACAGATTTTTATGTTTCATTTATGCACTTAAAATATGAAAAATCTTTTAAAAATACATGGGACTGTCAAAAGCAGTATCAAATATACCCAGAGAAAAAACTGGAAACACTCAAAGGTCCATCAGTAGATGCACAGTTACAAACTGACTCTTGGTATAACCCATACAATGAAATACTTTTCAGCAATAAAGTGGAATCAACTGATAAATGGAATCAACTGATATATATAACAACATGGCTGAATCTCAAAATAATTATGTTCAGTAAAAGAAGAGAGGTTTTTAAAGGAGTACATACTGTATGATTCCATTGACATAAAACTCTAAAATATACAAGCTAGTCTATATTGACAGAAGCAGATTAGTCATTGGGGAGAAGATACAGTTAGGAGCAGGGAAGAGATTCAAAGGGGCATGAAAATGGCGATAATGTTCCCTATATTGAATGTAGGTATGGCTTCACAGGTGTACACATATGCCAAAATTTCATAATACATACTTTAAATATATGGAATTTATTTTAAGTCAATTATACCTCAAAAACTGTTTCAACAAAAAGGGGAAGCAACAGACAAGTTAATTTTAATTTGAAGGCAACAGGGTGTATAAAAATCTGCCTCATAAAGCTTTAAATAGTATCACAGAACACACAACTACCATGGAATATTTTAAGTTAGAACAGGTATTAGTTTTGTTCTATTACCTTAAAACCTTTGGATCCTGAGAATTTTCAATTCCTTTAAAACAAACTTTTTTGACATGATCCCCTGAACTATGGCCAATAACAAACTTTTTTTCTTCTAGTAAGAAATCTCGGAAAGACTTGGATGAAACTGAATGTAGAGAAGATGTCCTGCAAAAGAAAGCAAATGTGTAAGCATTCATCTTGTAAAAGGGCATTGCTGGAATTTACAAGGAAACTGTAAGAGAATGCATACCAAATATCTTACAATACTATATAATTAGTTTTCAATGTGATGCTGAATTCTTGCTGCCAACTGCAAAATAATCAAAGCTATGCCATAAGAAAAAGCAATCAATGGAGATCAACTCTGGAAATTCAGTTGTTAAAATTAGCAATTATATTAAGAATAGCTACTGTAACTATGCTTCCGATACAACAACAAAATGTTCAAAATGAATTAAAGAATAGGTAAGCTCAGCAAAGGAAAATAAACTATAAAAAAGAACAAAATGAAAATTCTAAAATTTTTAATTCAATATATAAAAAACAAAATTCACCGGATGGATTAAAGAGTCAGTAAATCTGAAGATAAATTGACAGAAAGTTTTGAAATCTGAAGAATAGAGAGAAGAAATGATTAAAAAACATTATCCTATGGTGACTTTTGGAATATCAAAAGGCTTACCATACGTCTAAATGGAGTCCCAGAAACAGAGGAGAAAGATATGGCAGACAAAAACGTTTAGAGAAACAATGGCCAAACATTTCCCAAATTTGGTGGAAGACATAAACTTAAAGACTCAAATCTTCTGGCAAGCCCCAGAGAAGATAAAACAGAGAAAACCATAGGTACATCATAGATAAATAGCTGAAAGCCAAAGATAAGCAGAAAATCCTGAAAGCAGCCACAGAAATATAACACAATATGAAAATGACTAGCTTGTTAATAGAAACAATGATGCCCAAAAGAAAATACAAAGGCATCTTTAATATGATGAAAGGGGAGAAAATATGTCAATCCAGAATTTTATATCCCTGTGAATGTGCTTGGAAGATAATCCTCTCCAAGTCAGGCCTTGAAATGATTACAGCCCTGGGTGAACTTGGATTGCAGCATCATGCAAGACCTTGAGCCAAAGGCACCCAGGTAAAATTTCTGACCAAAAGGAACTGTGAGATACAAGATGTTGGTTGTTTTAAGCAGCTGTTTAGGAATAATTTATTATGAAGCGATTGATAACTTATACAAGATATCAGGAATTTAAAAGGATAATAAGGAAATGTTATCAATACACTGATGCAAATAAATTTTGACAAGTTACATAAAATGGACAAATACATATTTAAAAAAACAAATTACCAAAAATAACAAAAACAATCTATAAAGACCTATATCTATTCTAAAAATTAATCTCACCAGTTTTTTTAATTGTAAAAATATACAAACTGATTCTAAAATTTGTATGAAAATACAAAGAACCTAGATTACTCAAAGCATTCTTTTAAAAAATTATGTAATGTTGGAAGAAGACAAAACAAATCACAGTAATCAAGACAGTGTGTGCTATGGTTTGAATGTTTGCTTCTTCCAAATTCATGCTGAGATTTAATTATCATTGTGTGATACTGGTGGTGTTTAAGTCATGCCATTATGGGGAGGACAGGGCTTACCCTCTCTTGCCCTCTCACCCTTCTTCCATGCGATTCCCTCCACAGTACTATGTTGGGGCAAGAAGGCCCTTGTCAGAAGCCAGAACCTCAATGCTGAACTTTCCAGCCTCCAGAACTGAGTCAATAAACTTCCGTCCGTTATTAATCACCCAGTCTCTTGTATGTTATGGTACCACAAAAGGAATTAAGGCAGTGTGATACTGGTAGAGGGCCTGATTTCCCTCAATATGCTCTGTTGTTCTTTCCACTGACTACACTATAATCTGAAAGTGTCTGGCTCCCCACAATTCCACTTTCCTAATTCATAAGCTCCAGCTATTTTTCATCTTCACAGTCACAGAAGTTTTATGGATTCTGGACATTTGTGCCCACATGAAAATTAATGGAGATTTTGTCTCAGCTAAAGCAGTCCTGAAATTTTGCTTTGAAGATGAAATTTTGTAATTTCCAGCAAGATGGCAAAGTCACGGGTTGGACTGTGAGTCTCCTCAAAAGCAGGCATCCACAAAGACTCTCTGCGTGAGTGGGTGTGTGCCAGTGGGTGAGAAAAAGTCTGTCTGAGAAGAGACTTGGGTTCATGCACAAGGGGCTCTCCTACGGAGGTGACTGCAACTCCCCACCACCCTGAGATTGGAGCCCGGTACACAGGACTGTGCTGTTCTGGGGCTCTCCTGAGAAATGCCTGCGGAGTACAGCTGATCTTTATCACCCAGAGCCTGGCCACACCATCTCCTGTGATAGCAAAGTGGCTGGAGCCCCAGATTTATGGAGAAAGCAGGTTGGGGAGAGCTGGAGAGGAGTCCTACCATCAGAAATGCTGGCCAGAGCTTTTCTCTGTCCCAGGATCAGGCAGAAACATGCCCTGTCCCACCCAGCTCCACACAGCCCCCCAATCTGGAACCTAGAGGTTATCTCATCAAATTCAGAGATACAGACACCCCTCCCCCATGCTGAACAGGCACAGACATGTCAGATCTGAGTGGGAGGGCAGCAAGCCAGGTGGGTCCAGATCTGGTCCACACTCCTCTGACAAGTCTGTGGGGCATCTGACTCATGCTGAGAACAACCCTATCAGCCAGGCTGAGACCAAAGGGGAGGACTTGGAGACCACAGCTGAAAGGAAGGTGAAGTTACAGGAACTGCCCAAGAGCTGAGTTTTTTGTTTGTTTGTTCTGCTTGGGTTTTTTTGGTTTTTGTTTTAGTTTATTGTTTTCTGTTTTCCTCTTGTATCTTTCTTTCTGTTTTTGATTAGGTTTTCATAATTGCTTCGTTTCTGTTATTTATTTATTTTTTTTAGACTTTCAATCTCCCCACCAAAACTTGCATTTTGAAGCAAATCACGGAGAGTATTATTTTATCTGTAAACATCTCAGTATATATCTTTAGAAATTAAAATCTTTTAAAAATGCATAATTAAATGCCATTGTCCTAATGTCATACATTGGGCTGTCCAGAAACTGAAACAGAGACAAAAATGTCACTGTAAATAATCTATTGGGGGGGGGACACAAGTCGGGACGTGAGACAAGTAAAACAGAAAAGGGTTGGTGGAGGCCAGTTGCGGTGGCTCACGCCTATAATCTTTGGGAGGCCGGCCAAGGTGAGAGGGTTGCCTGAGCCCATAGGTTTGAGACCAGCCCAGGAAACTTGGCGAGACCTCATCTCTACAATAAATCAAAAAATTAGCCAGGTGTGGTGGCACACACCTATATTTCCACTACTTGGAAGGCTGAGGTGGAAAGATCACCTGAACCCAGCAAGTGGAGGCTGCAGTGGCTGTGAGCATGCCCCTGCACTCCAGCTTGGGTGACAGAGTGAAACTCCAACTCAAAAAAACAAAAAAAAGAAATGTTCTATTAATTTTCCAAGTAAAACATTTGATATTGAAAAGTGGCCAAATCCCATAAACAGTGTTTTCACATTAAATTTTAAAAACTGGTTAGAACTACATTTTAGTACAAAAACCAGTTATCTCTAATAATTTCATTGCCATACCTAACTGGAAGCAGCAGAAGTACAACTATATACTGGAAGTTGTACAGACTAGGCAAATGAATATGTGAACAGACCAGTGAAAATCCTACCATAACTACAAGGAGATGTAAAGGGCTAACTTGTGATTTGCTAATGAACTGCACATTAATCGTACTATTATATAAAGTAAGAAAATCTAAAGAAATAAAATCTAATTAGACGATTCTTCAGATGATGCAAATGTATCTTTATTAAAAAAAAAAAAAACAAAAACTTTGCCGGGTGCAGTGGCTCACACCTGTAATCCTTCCCAGCACTTTCAGGGGCAGAGGTGAGAGGACTGCCTGGGCAACTTGGTGAGCCCTTGTCTTGCCAATAAATCAAAAAATTAGTTGGGTTTGTTTGTGTGCACTTGTGGCTCCAGCTACCTGGAAGGCTGAGGCAGAAGGAACACCTGAGCCCAGCAGGTCGAGGCTGCAGGGGATGCAGTGACCGTGAGCATGCCATTGCAATCCTAGCCTGGGTGACAGAGTGAGACTTTTACTCAAAGAAAACAAAAACAAACAAAAAATTTACAGCTGAGTCAGCAGTCATGAATATACTCTATGAATACAACCTGTAAACCTGATTCAAGTTATTTTCAGATTAACTTCCTACTTTTCCAAAACAGAGAAAAGTTTAAATTATTCAAATTTTTTTTAAAACCAATCTATTCCATTTTTACTTCAAGCTATATTACAACTATTTACATTCTATGTGTATCTGATTAAAAGTCAAGTGATATACTGAATAATGTGGTTTTCTTATAATTTTAAAATCATCCAAAGCAGCATATCACCTTACAGTCATTCAATAATTAATGTTATATCTAGAGCTCATTAGTCTTGTAAGGATTCAAATACAATTTTGTAACAATTTAATAATGATTATTTCAACGTACACTAAAAATCCATAGAGTTCCTAAATACCAAACATTAAGTATTTTATATAAATGCATTACTTTTCTAACAAACTCACTGAGCCATGCCATTAACTTAGGATAAAATTCCTATAATCTAGCGACAAATTATATGTATGTCTTATATAATTTATTTAAATATAGATGTAAAATTATTTATATGTGCATTTTAATGTATATAACACATATTTTACAAATTTAACTCTGCTCACTGTTTAATGAGTATAAATAAAAGCAGTGCATATATTCAAAAGAATTTTGCAGAAATGAGTTTAAAAGATCCTTAAGATAAAAATGCAGGTGAACCTTATCTTGTTGTGCTTCTCTTTTTTGTGCTTAACAGATACTGTGTTTTTAAACACATTGAAGGCCGGTGGCAATCCTGCATTGAGCAAGTCTATTGGTGCCTTTTTTCCCCAATAGCATGAGTTCACTTTGTGTCTCTGTGTCACATTTCAGTAATTCTCAGGATTTCAAATGTTTTCATTATTATTTTATCTGTGATGGTGATGTGTGATCTTTGATGTTACTGTGACTAATTATTTTGGAGCACCACAAACCGTGTCTATATAAATGTTGTTTTTGTTCTGGTTGCTCCACCAGCTGGCAGTTCCCCATCTCTTTCCCTCTCCTCAGGCCTTCCTATTCCCTGAGTCACAACCTGGAAAGTCGGCCAGTTAACAACCTTCCAATGGCCTCTAAGTATTTAAGTAAAAGAAAGAGTTGTCTGTCTCACTTTAAATCAAAAGCTAGAAATGATTACGCTTAGTGAGGAAGGCACCACCCTGATCAATCACTAGTCATCAACATCAAGGCAAGGCCCTCTACCTGTAAAAGATTATGACTTCCTGAAGAAAGTCTCTGATGATCGTTAGCATTTTTTAGTAATAAAAAAATTCTAAATTAAGGTATATGCATTTTTTTTTAAACAGTGCTACTGTACACTTAACGGACTATAGCATAGTATAAACATAACTTGTACATGCATTGGGGAACCAAAACATTGGTGTGACTTGCTTTACTGAGATATCCATTTTATTGAGGTTGTCTGGAACTAAATCTGTAACATCTCCAAGGTATAATACTAGGTAGCCATAAGAAAGGCATAAATTATTAATTTTAAACAATACACTTGAACTTGATAATAGTTCAGAATATCTATGATTATCAAAAATTCAGAATACTATAATATCTATGTCTAAATTATCCATAATTGGTCAGTTAGATAAATTTTCTTAGTATCCTAAGATATATAAAATTACTCACTTTTTTGGACTTAAGATTTCCAATCATGTTTTCATTAAATAAATGTATAACTAACATCACTTATATTTGATAGCATCAAATTATTTTCACAGAAAAATACCTTGATTATGTTTTTTGCTAAATTTTATGACATTTTTCTTTACATCTTAGAATTCTCCTTAGTATGGCATAATAGATTTTTTAAAATTTATAGATAGGTAGTCCCTTCAATGTGGGACTCTGTGCTCATGCTACTAATAATTACTGTGGATAAATTTTTTCCTAAATTTGAAGTTTCAGATGAATGTTCACTGGAATACTTTCCCCAAGATCCTACATAAAGTGAGCAGGAAAGTACTCATGAAAGTATAAACCCACAGGGTCAAAAGGATTAGATATTAAGACAATGGCAGACTAAAAATAGAACACATTTTTGTAGGATAGCAAAGAGCTGTAGTGGTAACTGATGCAGCAGAGCAGATATAAAGAACGACCGAATAGTCATAAGGTGTGTAGTGTGAGGGTGTGACACTCAGAACTCTGGAAAGGCGTGCAGACATTAGATGCATTTTATGTATCAAATCCTGAAGTAAATATGAGGACAAAATATGAAAACTATTTCAAAATTTACTCGTGGAGTGTTGAGAATGCCAGGTATCTTTCCTGGCTACATGTGGTCACAAGACTACACTTCCTTTACCTAAGCAGAAGGGAAATGTGATTCAAAGTCATTACTAATAGAGGAAGACAACAGTGAACTGTTGTGTACAAAATCTATACACCAAATGGTGAATCGTGTGCAAATCTACAACAAATGGCTCAGGCCCAGGCTTAACCTCCTTACCCAGCTTCCAGATTGCTGGCAACCAAATATATACCTCTCCAGCAAAAAAAATTAAAAGACAGTTCTTTAGAGAAACTGATAAAGACCAAAGAGTTATTGGATAACCCTATTGAGGGGGTCAACTAAAGATACTGTAAGCCATCCTATAGTCACATCTAACAGTCTACCTGTTCCATATAGGCACACAGAGCTTCTAGTTAGAATTTAAGAACAAAACAATCAATATAATAAAAGCAAAACATAATAAACTAAAATATGTAAAGAACGGATAAAACATGAATGTAAATCAATAGCTATTTTTAACTTTCTAACAAGTACAATTTTTTTTCTGATTGGCTTCTTCTGGTCAATATTAAATTGTTAAGATTCATTCACATTATTGTATTTAGTCATAATTTATTCTTTTTCATCACTGTGAAGTATTCTACTACAAAAATAAACTATAATTTATCCATTTATTACTAATAGACATGGTTATTTCCAGTTTTGACTATTAACAAGTAATAATGATATAAACATTCTTATACATGTTGCCTGGTGCATATGTGCATATGTTTCTGTTGGGTATATACTAAAGAGTGAAAATGTTTACAGAGTACAGAGATCTTTAACAACAGACTGTTAAACACAAAAAAGTTGCTGTCAACAAACGAGAAAGCTCATGACAACTAAAGATTTTAATAGTTGAAAAAGTCAGGGAAATGTTCTAAAAAGTAAAATAAAAGGCACAAATGAAAACAATAGAAAATGAAAATTAGAGACATCCAGGAGAACCAATATGTGATGAATGTAAATTGTAGAGAAAATAATGAGTAAAAGTATCAAAGTAATAGGATGTGAGAGTTTCCTAAAACTTAAAGACATATTCTTAATTAAAAGAGTCCAAGAACCCAGAACAATGTATCAAAAAAGACCTACTTCACGATACATTATTTAAAATTTCAGAACACTAGGCATAGAGAAAATACCTTATAAGTTTCCAGAAAGAAAAAAAAAAAAAATGTGGGTAAGGAGACAGAAGGTAACATAAAAAGAACAGGGAATGGATTGGCATTCAGTAAATTCTTCAGATGATTTCTAATTTAGAATCCTGTTCCAATCTAACAATCAGTCAAGAATGAAGGAAAAAATAAAAACATTTTCATGAATATAAGAGTTCCAAAAATATATGTTATATACATACTTCATGAGATAACTACTGGAGTTACACTGCATCAAAACAAGGAGTAATCTAAGAAACAGAAACACAGATCTGGAAAACTAGGGATCAAACATGTTAGGGAAGCAAATAGAATTTCCAAAATGACCGTTAAGTGAAGTCTCAAGATGACAGATAATCAATAAGTTAGGAAAAGACCCAGTACAGATCACAAAAGAAGAAAGAGCTCTAAGGAAAATGCCTCCAAGAAAACAAGTGAAACCTTTTGATTTACTTTTTGCTTTTAAATAAGGAAAATGACTGGAGACATGGCTAAAACAATATTACTAAGTCAAAAGCTTCCTCGTGAGCTTAGTTAATTCTCTCAAGTTGTAATCTATTTAGTACCACGACAGTTCCCAGTTTTACCCTCTCAGTGTTGCAACATTCATACCATAATTCCTATGAGGCAGTGGCCAAATCTTATGTATTGCTTTATCATCAGAAACCAGCACAGTGCCTTACATTGAGAAGGGGCTTAACAAATACTGATAAATTAAAAATTCTGCTAAGCCCATTCTCTCAAGTTTTAACCTCTATTCTCTTGTCCTTGGATTTTTCTACCTCTTGTTTTACTTTCTTTTTCAGTGACCATACACTGGACATACTAATAGCCCTAACAGGCATTCATAAAGTTCTATTAGTAGCACTTAGAATAAAATTAGTTGCCACTTTTCTAAAATATAATTTACATTTTAATTGAAAAAATATTCTTGTTTACAAGTGATGTGGCCTCAGAAACACTGAAGAGATATTCCCCAAACCAAGGGAACAAGGCTAGCTGTCAAGATCCTCCCCCATCCTTGTAGGAGAAACAAGGCTCTATTGTTCTCTCTGCTGTCCTTCACACTACTCATGTACTTCTCTAGAGCCGGTTTCCAGATATGATGATATGGGTCACAAAGAAAAGGAAGGATGGAAGGGAAGCAGGAAGTGCAAACTATCTTATACATCTCAAAATTGTTACCTGACCTCTTTGCAGATTATTCTTATTAACAGTGACACTGTGAGTAAACTCCAATAGAGAAAACTTATATCACAAAATGTTAGGTAAACAGCACTGTTTAAAAGTCACAATAACCATTCCTTACTAAACTCTGGTGTGGTCTGTGCTCTTTGAGCTATGGCCGTTGCTATGTTTTTTACACTTTGGTCCCCTCTCCTACCTTGGAGTGGTGACTCCTCTCTTTTTTAATTTAATTTCTAAATAAACTATATTTTCCAATCTAAAAAGTCATAATAACAAGCTATGATTATAACCATGTAAAAATATTTGTGAAGCATGAAGAAGAACAAAAAATTCTGGTAGTATAACTATGTTAAGATTTTCTTTTATCAAATCTAAGATATATGTTATTTCCTACAAAAAAATTAAAAATTAGTTGAGCATGGTGGCTCATGCCTATAATCCCAGCACTCTGGGAAGCCGAGGTGAGAGGACTGCCTGAGCCTGCAGGTTCAAGACCAGCCTGGGTAACTTGGCGAGACCTCAAGCAATAAATAAAAATAAAAAATAAAAAAAAATTAGCCAGGCATGGTGGCACATGCCTGTAGATCCAGCTACTTGGAAGGCTGAGGTGGAAGGATCGCCGGAGCTCACCAGGTCAAGGCTGCAGTGGCCGAGAGCGTGCCATTGCCTTCTAGCCTAGGTGACAGAGTGAGACTCCAACTCAAAAAAAAAATTGAAAAAAATAAATTCCTTTAAATCGTTTTAGAAAGAGATGCTAATTAGAACACCGAGAAGAAATTATATTCACATATGAAAAATAAATCCCACTTGAAAACCATGATGTATATGTCAAAACATCCCAAATTAAAACAAAATAAACAACAAAAAGTCTTTGTTTGCCAAGTTCCAATTTTTAACTTAAAAGCAAAGAAGGGGAGATGAAATGTTTTAAAAGACTTTAGAAATACATTAGGAGGGAAGTGTGGGGGTGAGGAGGACACTCAAAAGCCAAGAACTACTAATGTGCAGATCTATGCCAACTTTAATGAAATAAAAGCATACCATGCATTTACTGGTTTGGGGGCTTTTGAAGATGTGTTTAAAACTGTTTCCATGCTATTCATTCCTGAATTGATTTCTTTGGTAGTCAATGCAATCATTTTTCGTTGCTTCTGAGAAAGTTTAACTCCATGAGAAACCACTTTGCTAGAAAGTAAATTAAATTAAATAACATTAATTTCTGCTTAATAAAAGTAATAATAATGTCTTCTATTTATTTGATGTGATTTACTATATTAGATCAAAATGCTTACAAGTTTCAGGGATAATATCAGTTTATACTACATCAAATAACGGCTGCATATTAGCCCTCCAACAGATATAACTCAAGGAGAATAAGCCTTAAATCTTTAGCTTTTCTTTAGAAATAGTCCACTACGACCACTTTAGAGGCAAGTTTCTGGAATGTAATATTGTACTCCACAAGAGCTGGTCTATCAATTCTACTCTAACACATATTTAAGAAATAATATTATAGCGACTAAATTACCCAGAAAAGAACTTATCATTCTCTAACACTGAATGCAGAAAAATAATAGGAAAGATCCGACAGGTCCTTCCAATTCTTAGGGTAGAGATACAATATGACATGATCTTTCTTTTTACAATTTTTTTTAACCAACCCTAAATGTGACTTTGGTGTAGCTCCACACTTTTGTCTGCTTTCTTCTATTTCCATGATGGTTCTCAGATCCACAACAGGAGGGCTAACAGGACTAAAAAGACATAAAAGTTACTTTACAAAGCATTCACTTACCTATAAAGCCCAACCCCAACTTCACTGAACTGTAAAATATATGTAAGGCCGATCATATGAATATAAATTAGGTTTATTTTGTCAGCTATAGGCCAAACTCAGAAAGGATATTTTGAATGAAAACTACTTTTACATATACATACATACATAACAATTAAAATGCATCTAAAGTCATAATATTAAGTGATAGAACTGAAAAACTATATTAAAAAAAGAAGAAAAAAACCCAATAGAAAAATTCTTAAGTTATCTAAACCAGGTAGAAGAACTCACCAATGTTCTAATTAAATTATTATCTTTTACGATGAATGAAGCTTGAAAACTTATTCTATTTACAAACAAAATTCTTACCACTATCCAATATTAACAAAAACAGACATTTAATAGAAGAACTTGGGGATGTGCAACAATAGTGGAGACCCACCAGGCAGAGATGTACCATAATAAGAAAAAAAACCTACAATCTTTAGAAATAGGTGATTTCTGATCAAAATAAAAAATTATGATATAACTATTTAAAAAGTCTTATTTGTAATCTATTAAAGGGTTTCCTGTATTGTCTTTCATTTAAAAAATTATAATTATTTATACAAGGCAATACTTCAGAATGAATGTGTATATATTAATATTAAGAATTATTATTGCATATTGTTAAGCACTTTGTCAAGAAGCATGGTAATGAAATAGACAGGTAACCTATACTTTTGCCTTTATATCAAGCTATTTTTAAAACATGTTTAACAATGGCAATTAAAAGATGCTTCTAGATGTTCCCACAAATTAAGTACACTCAATTTTGTTTACTTTGGCAAAAAAATTGAAACTTTTCTGAACTTTCTAATTTCTGAACTAACTTTAGCCCATGAAGCAACATAAAATGGAAACACCATCATCTTTGTTCCAACTGTGCAAAATACGACATATTTAAAGAGAATACACAGATGGTCCAGATAATAATATGTCAATAAGTCAATTAACAATTTTAGCCTGTTATCAACAATAGCAGGCATAGGAAGATGAAGCACAAGCTCAAAAACTACTTTGAAAGAACACTGCATTCTAATTACATCTACTCCTTCTTTTGACTTTTCTAAATAAAAGAAAAAATGCATAAAATACAGGCAATTAAAAGGACAGTATAACAACATTAAATGAATATCCTCTGAAGATTAACTGCAAATTACAACACATTTCATAATTGTTAAATACCCTTTAACAATTAAATACCCTTTAATGTGCTACAAAAGATAAAGTCTATGAATAACAAAATGGTCTTCCTGAGTAGCATTTATAACCAATGTATATTATCTAAGAAAAAAAGTGCTGATATTAAGTCCATGTATGTGTACACACACACACACACACACACACACACACACACACACACACACACACACACACACACACTATTTGCCAGACACAGTGACTCACACCTGTAATCCTAGCACTTTAGGAGGCTGAGGCAGGAGGACTGCTTGAGCCTAGTAGTTTGAGATCAGACTATGCAATGTAGCAAGAACCTGTCTCTACAAAAACATAAAAAATTAGCCAGACATAGTGGCATGTGCCTGTAGTTGCAGCTACTCAGGTTGCTGAGACATAATAAGGGTCACCTGAGCCCAGGATGTTGAAGCTGCAGTGAGCCATGATTGTGCCAGTGCACGCCAGTCTGCCTGACAGACTGAGACTTTGCCTCAAAAAACTAAAAGTTGCAATATTTGCTACTACTCACTGATGATAATACAAAGGCAAATAAATTTTGCCAGTGTGTGTGTGTGTGTGTGTGTGTGTGTGTGTATAAAAAGCCTATTATAGCTGGTTAGCAATTTGTAAGCATTTAGAGTAAGTTTCTGTAATTTGGAAATTTATCTTAATATTTTAAAAATGTACTTCATTAAAAATTTTAATTTGACTAAAATGAATGATATTTCTCAGACTACTAGGTACAGAATAAAATGAAAGTCCTAACCTGCAAGAACTAGCAACCCAACTGGAAGAGTTGGTGGTATCAATTCTGTTACTGGGAATAGGCTGTGGAGCAGACATTTTAAGTATTGGTGACTTTTCCCATGGTTTTAAATCTTCTTTAGAATATGTAGGAGGTATACCATTAACATATGGTTTAACTTTTCCCTAAGGAAGGAAAAAATTTTTTATTGTTAACAATAGCAGGTACCTAGTACAGTAACAAACACATAGTTGGTATTTAATAGATATTAGTTACATTATACTGAAGAGCAAAATCTTATGACAATAAATCATCTAGTATTTTCACTTTGTGTTCTAATTTTGTAGCTTAAACCACATCAGTGATTATAACCCAATTACCGAGAGCTTTGAGAATAATTTTTAGAAACAAGTTTTCATATTAAATCCTATTTACATAAATAGTAAACAAGAATGTTATTAAAATAAAAATTATACCAATGAGACATAAAGCAGTAATTTTAAAATTACTATCCATGACTTCAGTATGAAACAAAATGAAAGTATGGAATAAATTTCATATAACTCACTGAATTACAGTACTCGGAATAAAAGTAAAGTCAAATAATATTGATACCTCAAAAGGAACCCTAAAAACTATTGCTATTATAATAGGTCAAGGAAGTTAAGATGGTATTTCCACTTCCAAGACAGATTATTCTACCATTGCAAGATATTCACAATATGCCATCAACTTTCCCTTAAATCTCAGTTGTCTTCCAGACCCATCTTAGTAGGAATGTGAATTGTCCCCAAACTTCTACCCTACATTAAAAAAAAAATATCATCCCTGAGGCCTAGAAGACTCTAAGAAGAAAGGGTAAAAAGAATAAACATCCATAGTCTCACCAATTCCTAGGGGCTCCAATATGTTTTATGGATGTGTAGGGGCTAGAGAAAAATGCCTCTATCTCTATTAAGTTAGACTTGTTTCTTCCCTATAGCTTAAAAACTATAGAATAAAATTTTAAGGGATGCCTAAAAAATACACTCCCCAGAGATGACCAGGCTAGGAATCCTACAGCTTAATGTCAATGGCACTAGATTAGGAGAAGAAATAAATCATTCCAAATTGTTTTGCTCCAATTAACAGCCTAGAGGAAAGAAACTGCAAAATTTGAAATTAGGTTTATTTTCAACATCATTTTCATTGACAATCTTTAAATGATTGTAACATTTCACAAAATACTTTCAGTAATTTAGCTATAAATACATGTTTCAATATGTCTATAGTGTTACTATATTTTACGTCAACATATTTTAGTTGCAGAAAGATTAGCAATAACACCATAAAGAGCTCAAAACTGCCATTAAAATATCCAAAACTAGAAATGTTACACAAATTTGAGAAAACTAGCACTACACATATTGTGTGATCAGTTATGCTTTCTCATATACCAACCAGGAGACTGTTTTACAATTAGAGCAAAAATAAAAAACTAAAAATAAACTATCTATATGCCTAAAAATTGAAAGTAAGGAAGCAGTGCTTTCAAAAACAAACCTCAATCTTATCTGAATGAAATCCTGTTGTAAAATCAGGAGACTGTAAATCTCTAGGACTACCCACGCCTACATAGCTTCCTTCAGAGTCTGATGTCAATAGTTCTGGAAGAGATTCCACAGAATTGGTCTTATCAAACTTTAACAATCCTAAAACATGAAATTAAAAATATACATATTTAGCACATATGCGTTAAACTTATATACATTACATGCAGTAAACCAAATAGAGCTAAAAGCTTCCATTTACCCAGAATTAACAGCATTCAAATAATATTCACTGTTTCAAAATCTCATTTCAAGCTAACTGAAGAAAAAAATCAGTTTAAGTAAAAAATTGAAACGAAGGAGATTCTAAAATAATAGTTTTTTTTAATCATTATAATTATATACCCATCATGTAATGAACTTGAGGAAAACAATTCTTTGGGATCTGGTTTAAGAAGTGATTTATCACAGAAACAAAGAACTGAGTTCCATATGTTCTCACTTATAAGGTGACCTTGAACAATTATAATGCTGTGGGAAGGCGATTGGCAGTAGCGGAAAACTGTCAGGGGATGGGGGGTGGGACTGGCAGCTGGGGGAAGCTGCTAGGGGAGGGAGGGGCACACCTCATTAACAAGCATCCCTGCATGATCAATGTTTGTATACCTAGCCCTGAATTGTACCCCTCATCTTTATAATAAATAGATTAAGAAGCCAACTTGACCTTTTTAAGGCTGTTTTTCCCTGCAGCTGATCTCTGGGGATTGAGAGCTATTTTTAATTAGCTTACTTGAAGCAAAAGGGTTGTTGTGAAATACACATAACATTTCTTCTTTTAAGGAAGCACACTACCTGCCTCCATGCTACAGGTAGTATCCTAGTTCATTAGCATAGCAGAGTTATTTCAGATATAAACAGTGCAGTTTCAGGTGTTCATTTCCATACATTTCCAATTTATGAGATGAAGTACTAAAATAAACTTTAAAAGAAAGACATTATCTGAGTTGTAACTGAAAGTTGTATAATTGATTTTAAAATAAAGAAAACAAACCATCTCCTTAAAGAAAATCACTTTGACAACCTCTGTGTTATTTTTTCTGTTATCATTGCTAAAATACAGTTTAAAAGGAACATCCAAACATTTTTTTCCCCATACAATCTTCTGGATATTTTTAACACTAGCAAATTTTCATCTAAGAAAATACATCTAGTACTAGAAAGCTCCCTGAAGTCAATTAGAAATAAATCTAGAAAATAAAGAGCACAACTGAGGTGGCCAACAATTATACTGGGCTACAAAATGTCATTTATCTAACTTTGAGGATCAACACAAATGTTAAGCCTTCACACAACTGTCTTTGATGAAATTTGCCTCATACTCAAATTTTCTTCATTAATAAGTCATTTTGGCCCCCAATTAAATTTAACCTTTTAATAATTACCTGAGCTGCCCATAGAAAGAATAGTATACCAGAAAAATACAGAACTGGAATGAAGAAAGTAAATTAGATTTTTTTTTGTCACTATTGCTTCAAATCACTTATGTTTTCTGAGTTTGTCTCCTTGTGTTTAAGGGACGTAAATTATTTCATTGCTAATCTCTCATCCAGCTCTGAAATTCTAAGATTCTACTACATGTGCTAGCAATAATATTATTTAAAATAAATCAAATATCTGCTTTTTTCCATAAGTCAGTAAGATGACTGGAAAATTATTAGTTTCATGGTTATCTATCCATTTATTCATCCTTCTATCAATCCATTCATGCCTCCTTCTAAGGACTAGAAGTAACTCATACAACACAAAGAACACAAAGTCACAGAATTTTAAATGTGGAAAAGTCCTAAGATATGTCTTTCCATTTACTGGGTCTTGTGATTCCTATCATCGGTGCTTCATAAACTAATTTTAGGTAAATTATCTATCCTTTGTGTAGCTTTTGTGTTATCTAAAATAACTATTCTTGACATTACTTATTCCTCTGAGCTTTAATGACAATGTCAAGTATCTCATTTGTAGTATTCATCAAACATTAAAAAAAAAAATCCTTCTTTGCCCTGTATAAAAGCTATTTTTTAAAAAGACACGAAACAACTTAATCTTCTCTTTTTTCAAAGTTGTATGCATAGGACTGACTATGAAATACTGCTAATGGAAATTTGCACCATATTATGTCTTACTGCTACAGACAAGACATACCTACCATTTCTGAAAGCCATACTGTAGTCTCATTATTTTATAGTCATACTTCATGCTTTAGCTAAAGAAAATATTAAAAATTTATATCAAATGAATCTAGAATGTGACAGTATATAATACAATTGGCCTGCGCCTTGGGAAAAAAAGGTATGAGGAATATTGCTTTAGTTAAAAGAGACTACAGAGATATTAGTAAGCAAAGACAGTGTGACCCTGACTTTTGATTTAAAAACTAGATTTTTTTAAGAGGTTTAACAAAAAAGACTATAAAAACATTTATAAATAATTAGAGAAATCTGAATATGGAGTGTAATACTAGGTAATGATTAATTAATGTCAATTGTCTTAGGTATAACAGCACTGTGTGCAGAAAAATACTTTTATTTTTAGGAGATTCATATTAAAGTATTTAGGGAAGAAGCATCATATCTATAACTTATTCCAAATGGATAATTTTTTTTAAATCTCTAGAGTCTGTGAGAAAAAGCAAATATGATAAGAGGCCAACAATAAATCTGAATAAAGGATATATAGGTATTTGTGGTAATTATTTCTTTTATCTTTTCAGTAAGTTAAAGATTTTCAAGATAAAAAATTGGGAAAATTTTATTAGAAAAACTACACAAGCTTAACTTTCAAACAGGCTTGCATAATGCCTAGATATAAAATGTTTTATATTTCTCCTACTAGGTTATAACCTCATGCACCTGAATGGCATTTCACCTTGAACATCGACATATTTACATTAATCCAACATCATAATAGTATCTCTGACCTGTTTTGCCAATCTGTAACCCTCTATGCCACTGAATAGTGGTCTTTCTAAAAACATAAATTTCACCCAGGCACATGCTATTTTAAAAATTAATCAATAACAATTCACAGCCTTAAAAATAAAATATAAATTCCTTCATCTGGCATATAAGACTCTCCAAAATCTGATCTTTAACCAATCTGTCTCCTATGCTAAACAATATGCACAAGAAATGTGCGATTCTTTCTACTGCCTCCAGGCTGAGGAACACATTGTTCCCTTTTGCTTATCCATCTGCCTCTTTTTCTTGGCTAACTTCTCTTCATTCTTCAAGATCCAACTTGGCATCAAGTTCCTCTAAGAAGTCTTCCCTCATCTTTTCCAACTTGCTGGGGTGCCTCTTTTGTGCTCCCGGAGAAAACTTCTTAACACGATATGCTATCCTTTTCTGTAGCCTCTGTAAGGACTATTTTGTATATCAATTGCTCTAAGAGATGTCATATACTAACATTTAATACATGTTAAATGAATTAGATAATGAAGACACATCAAAGATTAGAACTGTAAGTATATGCTCAAACACTTTCCACTAACCTGTAGATGATGGACTCTGAATAATATCTGAAAGGTTATAACCTCCAGAACTATCTGAACGTTTACGTGGCTTCTTTTTAGCTTTTGTTTTTGCCTTCTTGAACATAGTTTCCCTAAGAAAAAGAAAACAAAAATCATTTTTAAAAATGTGATGTTAGAGAGGAACCAATAGAACTATGCATGTTAATCAACAGACTATAACAAACAAAAATGAAACGTAAAGATGTGCACACTCTAGTAACATTTATCTACGTGGCCCTGAGCAAATTACATTTCACCAGGCTTCTGTGTGATATTATTACTTGTCCTTAACCCCAGCATTTCTGTGAATGTTAAAAACAAGATGGTTAAGGGTACCGACACTCTATCTGTACGATGACCACGTATGGATCTAACCCTCATTTGTATCCCACATTTTTGAAATAAAATAATTTTTAAAAACAAAACGAAACAAAAAACAAGATGGTATAGAGAAAAATACTTTGAAAAATAAAATACTACACATATTTACATATAAGCTATTATAAACCATAATCTTGACTTGGAAATATTTGATAATTTTTAAAGATTTCAGAAAACGCATAATTCCTTGACTCGAGTACTATTAATCAAGGAAGAGATAATAAAATATGTATGAAAGCCACAGCTGTCTTGTTTCACCTAAAAATTATATCTCATTATCTATTTCATCCAGTAACACAGGCCAGCTGTGAACACTATTACTTTGTAGAAAATAACACATCAATGTTAATAATTTTATAATATGCAATATAACAACATGTCATGCATCTAAGTAAGATAGCTATAAATTTCAAGATTTATTTTTAAATGATGCCTGACACTCGAACAGGAGTTTTAAAAAAGAAAAAATAACATTTCTAGAACCCAAGGACAGTTTTTCAGTGAGGTGCACAGTTGGCTGTATATAGTAAATTTCCTGAACATTCAAGGTTTTCATTTAACTGACATTTACCAAGTAGAAGGAAACTAATTCTGTAACCAGATACGTGAGCTTAAGACACTGATTAGAGATTCTGTGCAGGATTTGACAAATGGTCTGCCCACTATAGAAGGATTATGTAGAACCTGAATATTTTGTTAGAAGACACCCAAATGTCAGTCACTGTAGGTCACGGTTAGTAAAATAGTCAGGTTCTCTACAGAGAAATAGTACATTATCTATGACAGGTACACTCCTCTCTGGAGCCTCTCTGGTTTAGCCTCTACTGATGGCAAATCTCTAATCTTCTGCCAAGATGAAGAAGGGGCAATCACTTGATTAAATGGCGTTTAGGAAGGAATCAGGGATCTAATCTTCCTTAAGTTCTAGCATTCACCCTAGTCTTCATAAGCCAGGTACCACTGATTCTTAATTTCTTATTCTAATAACAACACAAAAATGTCAAGTGGCTAAGATGAAGGAGGGGAACAGTGGAGGAAAAAAGGAAAAAAAGAAGAAAAAAGAGAGCTTACGAATACTGTTGATCCATATTTATTTCTTCTTTCAAAAAAATATCTCCATCTTCTATTTCCAAATAGCTAACATCTGGTCCATCTTGATATGGTGTAATGACTCTTCTATCCATTGCTGGAATCTGCAGAATTGAAGATGTCACTTTTTAAATACAAAATTTACAAAGACTTTTTCAAAAAATATGTTAAATATTCCATTTGTTTTAATATATAGTAACTTCAGAAAAAGGCCTGTATGCTCAATAACTTCCTAAATCTACAAGGGCAAAAAATTCTGATTCGATTCTTTAAAAAATTTCATAAAACTACCAAAAAAAGAAACCTTGAAAAAATTTCACTTTATTATTAAATACAGATTATTACAATTCTTAGGGCTCATGTGAATCCATGTGTTTTTACTGCCCTAACCTTTGGTAAATAACAAAAACACTCTCCTTGACACTTTCAGTAACTTTTATGTGTAAAAGATTTAAAATCGATATTAATTTTATCATTAAGTTTCTTCAATTTTGATTACTTTGTGAGACCTGTAAGAAACCCTACATCCTCATTTGAAAAAGATCCTAACGTATTAAAATTCATTAGGAAACTATTCCATGGAGAAGTCTGATCTAATACACTGTTTAAGATGGTAGTATCACAGCCACCAAAACCTTCACTAAAAAAACATAAGTCTTACCATTTTTCGGTAAAACACAGAAAGATCCTTCAAAACACCATCACTTAAAACATCAAGAGACCTAAAATATAGGACACAAAATTCTATCTTAAGACTCTAGTGACTTAATACCTGTCAAGATTTTCAAATAGGAAAATATTTCATTTCAAATAAACAGCAAATATACTAGACACATATCTTGAATAAAGATATATATTTATATATTATATATTATATATGTCAAATAAACAGCAGATATACTAAACACATATCTTTAATAAAACTCAAGCAACACTTAGGAACAAGAGTACAAAGAATCTTGAATCTTTTCTATCATAATAAAATAGCAAGTATTCATTTTTCCACAAATTATAATCTTTAACTATAGAAGGTATACTACATTGATAGAACAATGGCTTAAGTATCAGGAAACCTGGATTCTATTTAGAATTATCACTGCTACCAATTACCTACATGACCTTGAGCAACTCACTTTTTCTCTGGATCTTAGCAACTTCATGTGTAAAATGAGATTTGAACTAGATTAGTTGTATTCAACATAGATTTCAAGGGTCTTTTAAGTTACATTAAGGCATCAGTGAAAATTTAAATCAAAGTTTACATTTGAAAATACTATTTCTGCAACTAATGCAAAACAGTTCACATATTCAAATCAGTCTCATGCCAGATTTCAACAGTTTGGGAATAACTGATGCACTAACTTGTGATACTAAGTCAATTTCGGAGCCGCCCTCCTTTTCCTATCCTAACATCTCTGTGCTTACTTATTTACACAGCAAACTCCTGATTAAGAATGGTTATGTATACAAATCTTTATTTTAATACAAGTTGTACGTGTCTACTCATGCAAAAGTATACAAAAAGAGACAATATCACAGCAGGTACTATCCTTGATTAAATGGCTCAGCTGATGCACGTGTCACAACATAACAGTTGTAGCACATCATTTTCCAATATCATGTTTTACATAGGATTGGTACTTGTTTTACTTTTTGGCCGATTCCTGTCTGACAAATTAAATGAGCTTAATTTGGCAATACGGGGTAATAAAACTGCCATGAATAGAATTACTAACAGAATGTGAACAATAAAGTTTAACTCAGTCTGAAAAATCTAGCCAGGTTCTGACACTAAGATATTAGAGACATTTTAAAATTATACAATACCACATAACATTAACTTGCATTTAAAAACATTTTTCACAAAATTACAAAGCTTCAAACTGTAAAGAAATTTTCACTAAATTGAACCCTAACTGGCATTAAGAATAGATTAGTAGAAAAAAAAAAAAGTAGAACATTTTATTTCGATTATATTTTGGAATTAGTTCAAAGATCATTCTAACATTAAAAGCGAGTTATCAAAAAACTTTTATTTATAACAACTACACAAATCAAGATTTTCTCAATTCTGAAAGAAAAAAGTTGCCTGGATTTTCTTATATGAATACAAGGCTATTAACAGAATCTATTTCATAAGGTTTTCCAGAAAATTAAGTGAATTAATCTATCTAATACTTATAGAACAATGAATGATTAGCACATAAACTGAAAACTGACACCAAGAACTCTAATCTCAAATTTTTGTTCATCAAGCAGCCTTACTGTTCTCACCACTGACTTTATAGTGAGTAAACATAATATTCTGACCTTATACTAAAAAAAAAGTATACATTTATTTCATTTAAAAATCATTGCTGAAAACTTTTCAAAAGTTTCCAAAATTCCTCTAATTCTAAAATGTCTATGACTCCTAAATCATTAATTCTTCCCATCCAGGTAAAAACATCACTAATTACTCTTAAATTACTATCATATCTACCATCACATATAAACAGCTGCTTTTGCAATAGTCATATTATGTATGCACCTTACTTACCTTGCTTCAAGTAAAGCTGCCATATTTAGTCCCATAAACTGTAAACAAGACAGTTTCAATTGTCCAGCATTATACATTGCTGCAAATTCCAGTAGCATAGCAGCATTCTTAAGGGTAACTACAAAGAATGAAAAGATTTGCAAAGTTAGAGGAAAGGCATGTTACCCCAGCAAATGAAATATATTTATTTTAAGGTTGTAAGAGTTGTCCAATTAGAACAAGAAAAACTGAAAGTCCTTTCTTGACAAAATAACTCATTCAAATATAGAACTCTTCCATCCCAATAAGCCAAAGTAATTTCAAAAGTTGGTAATGAGAAAGCATAAGCTCATACACAAAAATTTTAAGCAAAACAAAATATAAAAGGGGCATTAGTATCACCAGAAGCAAACACATAAGAATTGACAGTCTTTTGCCTAATATTTTCTGAACACTTTTAACTTACATTGATGAACAACTTTTCTTTTCATTTATATAACACAAATCTGGCATGGGACCGATCGGAATATGGAAACTGTTTTGTATTAGCTGATTCGTACTAGAGTAATTATTCCCTCTTCTATAAGACTAAAAAACATTCTGAAGACTAAAAAAAAAAAAAACTGATGAAATAATTCTATAAAGTATAGTAATGTTGAGTAATTTATCAGAATTTATATGGATATATTTATGTATGTAAGTATATAAACATGTATATTTTTTGGAGACTATGTACATCTAAATCTTATAATAATATTACTCATAATAATGCAGAATCTGAGATACTATTCAAAAGATTCTGGATTTAGTCATAATCCTAGTAACCTTAAGTATGAAGTGACCAATTTTGCTAGAGATTCTTCCAGAATATTCTACCTATATACCAGGTAACTTTAGCTTTCTGACCCCCTCCACGCTTTTTCTTACTTCCTCAGAGTCTTAGTCAATAGAGGAACACAGTTCTTTTCTACACCCGGCTTCTTCTACTTATTTTTCTGTCTCCCCTGTAACCATAAAAAGTTGCAGCTGCAGTCAATAAAGGCCTTTGCCTCACTCCTGACTAACCTAAATTTTCAATTCATGATGAACAAAAACTCTCACAGTTCAAAAAATTATAAAATTGAATCATATAAAAACTTCAGAATTGTTCAGTTGGGAAGAAGTATCCATACATTCCCAGTACTCAGAGACCAAACTTCTGTGGAAGTCTCTCTTTCCTAAGTTCTAGGAACATCAAGGAATTTATAAATAATGGCAACTGTGCAACCAGAGACAAAAAAGGACATCTAAGAAAGGCCAGGAAAGCCAATAAACAAGTGAAAATATCACCTAAGTGTACGTTTTATTTCTACTGTATCCTGTGTTCTTTAACATATTTTTCTTTTCTTGCTTAAAGGGAGATCAGGCTGTTGTTTTCTTTTTGATAACCAAGACACCAAAGTCAAGACAAATTCCCAGCAAATAGAAATTAGAAAAAATTGACAGAAACTTCCTGAAGTAGCAATGAAGTAGAACAAATAAGTATGGAAAACCAAAATATTTTCATATCAGGCTAAGGAAATTCCAACTTTGTCCTAGAGTAAGCAACTAAAAATATCTAAACAGAGGAAACATAATTTCTTCCTATAGAATGATTACAGGAAGAGAAGTAGAAGGGAGAAAGAACATTTAAAAGACTACTTGACACTATACAGAAGGAATAGGTAACAGTGACCTCAACTATCATAATGAAAGTGAGGATCAAAAGATCAAAAGATAGGGGAAATGAGATCAACACAGTTAAGATGAATCAATTTCAACAGTTGAACGAATGTGGGTGTAAGGGACAAAATAACAAATAAAACTAATTTTGGATTTCAATGTAGTGTGTTCAGGAGGACAGTCATGTAATTAACTGAAATAGCGAAGAGAGGAAGAAGAAAAAGAGATGTGCCTTATTCAGATATATAATGGGAAAGTTACCAAAAAAATTCCTGCAAACAACAGGAAATGGGTAACTAAAATGGCTAGAGCCAAGACCAGGGCACAGGTGAAACAATTCTGCTTTCAAACACTCACCCCTAAATTTCCCAAGTAAATTTATACTATCTTTATTATTCAAACTATTATAACATTTCAATAGAAATTGCTGTCATATTTCAATTCTAAGATGTATATATTTTCACATATTCTGTGATAAGTGTGTGCCTACAAATGATGGCATGTAATAATTTAAATGTTTTGGTATTTTTCATAGTATAAACAATGGCCTATTTTACCATAAATGGCATCATAAAGTCAAAATGCAGTACTCTTGGATCAACCTGAAAACATACTAATATTCTAATTCAAAATTACTCACGTTTTTCAGTTAATGCTACTTCACAAATCTCTATCAGTCGAGTTATGAGAAGTTGATCAGCCACCGCAAGAACACTACAAATAAAATCTACATTTTGAGATTCTAAAAAACAGAAAGAAAACAAGCATCACTCTGTATTACTTTGTAAACATTGTACTTAGGAAAAAAATTGAATTAAGGCACTAGGAAAGAGATAATCACTATTATTTCCTAAATGTTAGAAGGGCAACTATGATAAATAGTACACGTATCAAGATACTTCCACCTTTTCGAAAATGGTTGAATTGATCATTTAGGTCTAGAAAGCTACTAGGATGTCTCATTTGTTTATAATTTTCCATACTGTTAGAGAAACATTTCTCAAACTAATAAACAGAAGGGAAAGTCAAATCTCACCATCACACTTAAAAACACATATACGTGCAGCAGTGGATAATGCTCTTAAGCTTTCTTATTTAAAACAAAATTTGTTCATCTATGAAAATTACACTCTTGGCCCTAAAGTACTAATGGCTTTAAACAATGCTCCTGAGCCATTGCCAAAATTACAACACAAATAGAAAGAAAAAATAGCAACACAGGGGAAAAAGGGGGCTAAGAATTTTTAAAATCTGAAGTAGAAAAAAGATTTAAAAATAAGAAGAAAGGATGAAGTCCTTGATGAAGTCCTTCCCATAAAAAAAATCTACAACCAGATGCCTTAATTGGTGAATCTGACTGAACATTTAAAGAATTAATACAATTCTCCACAAACTCTTCAAAAAATGGAAGATGAGAAACAGCCCAATTCATACAATGAGGCCAATATTACTCTGATACTAGAAAACAAGGACATCACAGGAAAACTAGACTAATAATCCTTAAGATTACAGATGCAAAAATCCTCAACAAAATGCTAACAAACTGAATCCAGTAACATATAAAAAGGAATTATACAACATGACTAAGTGGAATATCTCCAGAATGAAAGGATGATTCAATATACGAAAAATAATGATATAATACACAAAAACAGAATAAAAACACAATAAAATTTTTTTAACAATCGTCTCAAAAGACACAGAAAAGCATCTGACAAAATTCCACATCCCTTGATGACAAAAACACTCAATAAACTAGGAATAGAAAGACTCTTCCTCAGCCTGATAAACAGCAACTGTGAAAAACCCACAGTTAACATCATAATTAATGGTGAAAGAAAGACTGACTGCTTTCCTCCTAAGATTAAGAACAAGACAAGGATGACCAATCTCTCTCCACTTCTATTCAGCACAGTAGTAGAGATCCCTCTCATCAGGGCAATTAAGCAAGCATAAGAAATAAAGGATATCCACATTGGACAGAAGTAAGTATAACTATCTCTATTTGCAGATGACATGATCTTGCATATAGAAAATCCTAAGGAATCCACTGAAAAACTATTAGAATTGGCGAACAAGTTCAGCAAGATTGCAGGACACAAGATCAATATACAAAAATCAACTGTAATTCTTAAAAAACAATCCAAAAATTAAGAAAAAATTTCCATTTAAGTTAGCATTAAAAACTCTTAATTTTAACCAAGAACAAGGTTCATACACTGAAAACTACAAAAATAATTGGAAACAATTAAAGATATAAATTAATAGAAAGACACCCTGTGTGCATGGATTATAAGAATAGTAAAACAGCAATAATCTCCAAATTGATCTACAGAGCTAAAATCCCAGGTACCTTTTTTGCAGAAATTGGATCAACTAATCCTAAAATTCATATTGTTGATGGAAAGATCCCAAATAATGAAAATATTTTAAGATAGCTTATTCTGAGCCAATTTGAGGACCTAGACCCCTGGCATATGTCCCCAGGAAGTCCTGAGAATGTGTGCCGTCCCCATGATTGAATGGCAGCTTGGTTATACACAGTTTAGGAGGACAGAGATTACAAGCAACTATAAATCAGTATGTGCCTTGCCCTTCCCCCACAGATACAGGTGGATTCAAAGATTTTCTGACTGGCGACTACTTAGCCGTTATCTAGGTAACTGTGAAAGCAATAAAGGACAGCTTGAAGAAGACAACGGAGCAGAGTTTCTTGATATGTATGTAGGTGAGGTTTTATGGGTGGTGGTAGCAGACTTCAAACAGAGCGGGTAACTGTTTAAAAGATGCCAGAGTCCTTAAGAAACAGTAGTACAAGGTCATAAACTATTTTAGATTTTTCTTCTTTATCTGCCAGAGTCAGGTTGGAGAGTAAATCACATCAAAAGCTAGGAATTTGGCAATGAAAAAGTTCCTTTAGTCATCAATACGAAATTCCAAGAGACTCAAAACAGCCAAAACAATCTTGAAATAGAAGAATAGCGTAGGAAGACACGTTTCCCAATTTCAAAACATACTGGATGGTAATGTTAATCAAGACAGTTCTGTTACTGGCATAAAGATACATAATCAATGAACAGAACTGACAGTCAAAAAATAAAACCTTACATTCATTTCAGTTGATTTTTGACAAAGGGTCAAAACAACTCAATGGGGAAATAAATCCTTTTCAACAAACGGTGTTGAAATAACAGGCTATACGCATTTAAGAGAATGAAGCTGGACCCTTCTCAACACACAAACAAAAACTAATTGAGAAAAGTGGCTACCCAAGGAACAGGGGATGGGAGAAATGATGGTCAAAGGGTACAAAACTTCAATTATCTCACCTCAAGTATCCTCACCACAAAAAAAAAAACTTAGAGGTGATGAATATTTTCATTAGCTTGATTGTGGTAATCATTTTACAATATATGTGCATATATTAGAACACTGAGTTACACACCTTGACTATATATAATTGTTATTTGTCAATTAAGGCTCAGTAAGTCTGGGGGTAAAAATAACTCAAAATGGATCAAAGACCTAAGTGTTAAGAAACAAAACTTTAAAAAAGAAAGCATAAGGGATAGTCATCATGACCTTGGATTTGGCAATGAATTAGCAATACGTAAAAACAGGCAATTTGGACTTAATCAACGTCTAAATCTCCTATGTTTTAAAGGGCACTATCAAGAAAAGGAAAACAACCCAAAGAATGGGAGAAAACATCTGCAAACCCTGTATCTGACAAGAGACTAACATCAAGAATATGTAAAGAATTCTTTTACATAAAAATAACAACTAGTAATTCAAATAAAAGTATCCAAAGGATTCCGGTACTTTTCCAAAGATATACAAATGGCCAAAAACATGAAAAGATGTTCAACATCATTCATCATCAGGAAAATACAAATCAAAATCATAAGCTATATAGCATCACACCCTCTAGGATGGCAATAATAAAAAAGGCTGACATTAACTAGTGTTGGCGAGTATGTGAAGAAATTGGAACCCTCATACACAGCTGTTGGAAAAGTTAAACAGTACAGCCATTTTGCAGTTTGGTAATTTCTCAGATATTAAACACAGAGTTACCATATGACCCAGCATTTCCACTTCTAGGCATACGCCCAAGAGAAATGAAAATAGGCCCACAAAAAACTTTGGGCATGACTGATCATAGCAGCATTATTCCTAAATAGCCAAAAAGCAAAACCAACCAAATATACATCAACTGATGAATATATAAATAAAATGTGGCATATCTACAAAATGAATATTATTTGGCAATAAAAAATAATGAAGTACTACAATATAAATGAATTCTAAAAACAATGCTAGATAAAAGAAATTTGACATAGAAGTCCACATGTTGTTTGATTCTATTTATAGAAAATGAACAGAATAGGCAAATCCATAGAGACAGAAAGCAGATTAAGGTTTGCTAGGGATAAAAAATAATGGAAAGTGTCTATAGGTACAGGGTTTCTTTTTGGGGTGATGAAAATGTCCTAGTGGTGATAATTACAAAAGCTTGTAGTAAATATATGAAAAGCCACTTAATTGTATGCTTTGAAAGTATAAGTCTTACGCTGTGAATAATATCTCAGTTTTTTAAAAGAATGAGAAGTAGAAAAAAAAATACCATGTCTCAGCTTACACCCACATATAGAAATCTTCCAAAAATCTTGTTCTCAGTTACACACTATCTCCTTCATGGAGACTAATCAAATATCCATAGGCAGATTCAGAGGCTGCCTTCTCAAAAATGCATCTACTTTTTATAGGATTACTCTGTTGAATTACACTTGTTTTCTTATATGTTTGTCTTCTCTACTACATTGTGAGTTTCTTAAAAATAAGGTAAAAAAAAATAGAGTAAGGTCTACTCACTTTTTAAAATCTTGTATACAGCTGGGTTTGAAAACCTAAAGGTTAAATGAATGCAACAAAATACCCAGTACCACTCCAATGACCAAAGATACCTGGTAACTAAAACTTAGTGTTTTGCCTAACAAAGTATACAAATGCACACTCTTCATAAATTTGGGTTGAATTATTAGTCTATTTATTTCACTTCATATGTGTTACGAAAAGAGGAAAAACAGTATTTGTCAAAACTATACTTCCTGTTGTCAATTCATTCACTCCAATTATAGAAGTGGCTGGACATGGAACTGCTAAATCTAATCTCAACCACTGCATTTAATTATTAAAGAGTTCATTTTCACGTAAGTAATGAAAACTTTATTTATCTGATCCTTTACTGTTAGTAATCATCCCTATTGCTTATTCTAAAATTAAGCCTTTCCTGATGGCTCATTTCTAGTAGAAATTAAGACTCATTTTGATTTTACCATTATTCCATTATATATGAAATATCTAAAATGTCCTAACTCTTTTTTATTTTTAATTTTTTTGAGTGGGAGTCTCACTTTGTTGCCCAGGCTGGAGTGCAGTAGCATGCTCACAGCCACTGCAGCCTTGACCTGCTGCACTCAGGCAATCCTTCCACCTCAGCCTTCAAAGCAGCTGAAACTACAGGCATGTGCCACCACGCCCAGCTAATTTTTTGATTTATTGTAGAGAAGAGGTTTTGCCAAATTGTTCAGTTTGGTCTCGAACCCCTGGGCTCAGGCAATCCTCTCACCTCGGCCTCCCAAAGTGCTGGGATTACAAGCGTGAGCCACCACGCCCAGCCCTTAACTCTTATTAATACCTTTTATTGCCACAGCTTCATCAGTATAGAGGTAGTCCAAAATAACTTTTAATATATCAGAATGTATTGGCATTTCCAAAGCTGCACAACTGGAAGCCTAAACAAAATAAAATAAAGTAAAATTATTTATTTTAAGCAATAAAATATTATTACAGTCTAAGTTGGATTACTGGTGTGAAACTTTGAATAAGAAACCAAAACAAATGCAAAGGACCATAAAATTCATAAAACTCAAAGCTAAAATGAGTTTATATTCAATTTCAAAACACTTATAACATGACAAAGGAATAAAGACAAACTTCAAAAAACAAGAATTACACCAGTGTTACTAATACATTTCTAAATAATGATGGGGAAATTTTAATTTAAGTAGGGTTTTAGCAATAATTTTAAATTCTAAATACTGCTATTTTCTAGCAGGTTTAAGCAAAAATTTTAATACAAATAAAAAACTGAGCTAAAATATTATCAAGTTCCAATTTTGAATTTCTTTAGCTTTAAATTTCCCCAAAATATAAAGAAGTGTAGTTACCAGCCTAGGGGCTTTTTACTTAAATCTTACCTCAATCCATGTGCTACTCAGCATACTATGAAAATATTCTAAAAGAAAAAAATGTTCAGTGCAATAAGAATAGTGAAACAATTCTAAAGCAAATGAGTCAACAGCTGTAACAAAAAGTGTACCTACCAAGTCTAGCACAAAGAACACATTTATGACATGAAAATTCCTTTCCATCTACTGATTTCATGGTCACATCACACAGAAATGAACTGCAAGAAAAATGTTTAATTGAAGCAACAGCAATTTCTTTACATATTTAGCAAACAAGAAAATTTGTTATAGTATCTGGCTTAACTTTAGATTTTTCTCTTAGAGGTGACAGAGAATAAACAACTTATGGGAAAACATACAAATAAAGCATTTCATTTCCTTCCACCTTATGGAAGATAAGAAGGGTCTTACAGTAAAAACACAATTTGAAAAGGGAATTGAATACAGACAAATATTCAAAAAAGTACTTTTTCTAATTTTCCTTTTTTAATACAGGTAAGGTGCTAATAATAAAATATTAAGTGATACCATATTACAGTATCTTTAATTCACTTATCTGTATGACCCATTCTGTGGCAAGCATAGTTTAAACTCCAGGTTCACTTTCTCTAAAACTTTCACCTACACAGAAAGTACAAATAGCTAAAAACAAAACTGTTAGTAATATATCTAGAATAGTATATTTATTACTGAAAAAAATTCATACTAAAGGAAATAATCATCACAATGATGAAGATGCATAAGTAATTTGCTTTTGAAGCTAATAACATATCCTAGTTATAACAAGACACAAAATTCAGGTCAGGAAAAAAAATTAAAAGTTCCTCACTCCATTAGAAAGTAATCAGAAATACTGAACACCTTCACTGACTTTTTGAGCCATTAACATTTAATCCGCTTACCTCCACAGCTCCCCAACACTTCCTGAAAAGTTAAGAGGGTGTCTATCTACATATTTTGCTTCATATGTGGATAAGAAGAGCTCTATCTGCACGTGTACATGCCAAAATTTAGAGAGAAAACGTTTGTTTTCCTTTAACAACTTACCATTTTTTCTGATTTAGCTTCAGTTTGTTACCAGTTTTCTTGGCAATAATATTAATTTTTTCATTTTCAAACCTGACTCCATCTAACCTATCAAGAACAGATAAAAAAATTAATTGATGGATAGATTCCGATACCAAAATAAACTACTACAAAAATCCAACAAATTAGCTTACATCTAAACATGATTATATTATCGTCTTAAAAAGTATCTCAACAAATCCCCACTTTGAGATAAATACATTTTTTCTTCAATTTTAGAATCCAAAATATGTTAAATATCATTACTGACAACAAATCAAAGCCATAGCACAAAGTCTTTCACTGCTATAAAATTAGGCAACTTAACACATGCTCCTCCTCTGTACCTACCCCCACAACTAAGGCTATACTGCTATGAGCAACAAAAATACCTTTAAAAAAGAGAGAGGGAATTCTCAAGAATCTGGTTTATAATATGACAGATACCGTGTTAGGCGCTTTACCCATGCTATATGACAAAACTATGCCAACAACATGAGGTAGATACTATCCCTCCCATTTCATATATTAACACATTTGTGATCAGCTAATTTTTCACTTTCCTAATACTAAGAGAAGATGAAAATTTTTTAAAAATCTGAAACTGGTTACTGCAAACTTCTGTCATCAAACATAAGTGAAATGGTCTTTCCTAAATTGTCACCTTTTTCACAGTACACTTGAAAGTTGAGACATATCCAGTATTTGCCTCAGATACCACTTTGACTAGCATTCTATATTTTGTATTTTAATTCAGATTAGAAACCTGAAAAGACAGTCTTCCATGATGATGTATCATGGATTCATCCAAGAAAAGTTCTTGTTGAGGTTTGCACAGTGTTGAACTTATTTAAGACATAATTTATTACAGGTTCAATTTTACATAATCTGCTTGGATTTGACTGCATTTCTGCATTATTGGAAAAATGCAAAAATAGTAAAATTGGTAGGAATCTATTTTGTGTCATTATTTTGTAAAAGAAAGGTGTTGCAGTTGATAGACGTGTTGAACAGTATGTATCGTGGTTTTCTTCCCTTGTCCCATCAAAATATTTAATGCTAGAAACATTTTCATCTCGGACATTGAAATATTGCTTCACTTTTTTTATTTCTTTGGACATTTCTATCTGTGGTGCATCTACTCATAATACTTGTTAGTTTCAGTTGTGATCATTTCTATAAAAGCATCTCTGATAGTCTGACAACTTCATTTATACTTTAAGGATCATTTGGGAATACCTTGACACCTGGATTACCAATAAACACTTCTAAGTTTCTTTTTGGATATTTTGTCCACTCAATGTCTGATTCGTTCTCACCAGTACTAGATTCACTGTCATATATTATTTGTACTATATTTCTTTGTTTACATTGCTTCATTCTATCACTATCTGTCTCACTATCACTAATAAGTTCACTGGATCCACCTTTGAACTCGGAAATCTCATCAGCATATATTTCTTCATTTTCCATAATTATGCTAAATTATTTTTAACGCTGAAGTATGAAAGTCCTGAAATATCGAAATACAAGTACACAACACTAATCACAACAAAATAATGAACTTGCAATTTTTACCAACTAAGTAAATCACTAACAACATTGTGCAGTCAATATCAGATAATTATTTCAATTAACTTTTTATCTTCTTGCCTATTCATTTTCAAGCAAAATATAATAACACATATATATGACAATATTGCAGCATTCAGAAACAGAATTTGCAAAGATACAATTTCATGTCGGCGACAACCAGGAAAGGAATTTGGAATGACATGAATTCGCGTCAGCGGCAACCAGGAACAGAATTGGGAATGATGTAAATTCACATCAGCAGTCACGAATGAGTTATGAAAATAAGAAATTTAGTCGGGTTCGGTGGCTCAGCCTGTAATCCCGCGCCTTTGGGAGGCTGAGGTGAGTGGATTGCCTGAGCCCACAGGTTCGAGACCCGCCTGGGCAGCAAGACCTCATCTCCACAATAAATCAAAAAAATCAGCCGGGCATGGTAGCACGCGCCTGTAATTCCAGGTATTCAGAAGGCTGAGGCGAAAGGATGGTGGAGCCCAGCAGGTCAAGGCTACGGTGGCCGGGAACGGCCACCACACTCCAGTCAGGGCGACAGAGTGAGACTCCAACTCAAAAAAAAAAAAAAAAAAGAAATCTGCCCCAGCCAGTAATAGACATATATAGGTCTTTCTAACTTCTAAGATCTTTCCAGCACACCATACTGTCTGTCACTCCAGATCCCCATTAGATACACAAACCATAGAGTACAAACCCACTAACAGCTTTCCTATCCTTTAATGTTCTAATCCAGAAAGTCCCACAAAAATAGCTCTGCTAAAAAATGCAGGAAGGACTTTCCCCCCAAAAAAGGAGACAGAGGAAAAAGAGAAAAGAGGCAGGGAAAGGAGAAGAGAGAAGGGAAGGGAAGGGAAGGAAAAGGAGGAGACAATGGAAAGCAAGGGTGGAAAGAAAAGCTGGGAAGAAAGAAAAAAAGGAAAATTTTCAAAGGAGGGTTCAATGAAGTACAAGGACCAAGAAAAAGGAGGAATCATACCTACTACTCAAATTACTGAAGCCAAATTTATTTGCAACACTTTGCAACATTCTTACAGGATCATCTTCCCCAACACTCTTTCCTTTTTTACAAGATTTGGGTTTGTTCTTCTGCCTTTCACACATTTTATGAGCTTGATTACTTTTGTAAACTTCAAATGTTGACTTCTGATTATCATCTTCATGGCAATTCATTTCATGCAAATGGGAACTCTGAGTGCCCTGATATTCTTCTGTATTTTTGTTTAAGTGTATTCTTGGTCTGAAACCATGCGTTAAAAAGTCACAAGTGTCTGTGTATATAAATTGCAAAAGATATTCAAACAAGTCAGGATGAACCTTCTCTACCACAAAGAGATGGCATCCTGCAGAATCTTCATCTTTCCGGTAAACATCTGTAAATTCTAAAGCAGTACCATCTGAAAGAAACAATTTCTGAAAAAAGTCAGAACGCATTGCCAAAATATATTTATGTGCAGGGAAGATTCTATTGCCAACTTGAAATGTCACATCATGAATGTTGTCCATTTCATCTGTTTCCCTCAAAAGTTTGCCAAACTCTTCAAAAAAGGATGATGAGGACACAGCTGGAATTTCATAAAGGCTAGAAACAAAACAAAAATAATTTATACTTTCCAAAAAATGGGGAGAAAAAGCACTCCTAGACAATTCTCTTTTAAAATGTAATGTTTTATTACTCATAAAACTTAGAAAAATTTTTATTTGGCATTTCCTAAAATATAGGATTATTGCACAAAGTCTTAAATACTATATTGCCTTTTTCTATTCCTTTTTATGTTTTTTTCTCTAAGTAAAATGACAAGAATTATGTTTTTCTTTAAAATAAACATTCTCTATCTTTACAAGGAAATGCTACAATATAAATTCAAATGGCTGTTTCGTAGAAATTTTTAAATAATTAAAAGTATAACTAAAAACATTCAAAAAAGAATACAATTCTTAACCTTTTCCTCTTTTTTATCTTTTATTTTACAAGTGAAGAAAAACAAATATACAGAGGACTGAGCAAATACTTCAGGTCCCAAATCCCAGGGTAGTAGGTCAGAAACTCAAGCAAAGATAAATAAACACACAGACAATCAGTCTGTAACCCTGGTTCTTTCAGTACTGTGAGAATGAATGACACCTTCCCAACCTACATTTCACCATTCTCAGTAGGGGGGCCAACCCTCCTGGTTTCCCTTGGACTGAGGGGTTGCCCAGGAGATGAGATTTTCAGTGCTAAAACCAGGGCAGACTTGGGCAAACTGGAATGAATGGTTACCCTACTTCTAGAACTTTTTCCTGCTTCAACACCTTGAGGTTTATCTTAACATGGTATCTCTCTACTAATGTTACTTAGAAGATTATAAGCAATGGAACTTATAGATGGCTCATAACACTTCTTTTGTCAATTCTCATCATATTCAGGGTTCAGAAATTTTTGCGAATTGCCTAAGAAATATTTATAGTACGTTTCTCAGAATCTGAGCACCTAATATCATAAAGTACTAAAGACAAATAAACTTTGTGTGTGCATGTATATATATTTTCAATAAATATCAGTTTACAAAATAAAGAGAATATTTCACTTTTCCCAGTATACCAAATTCTACCTCTGGTGATTACCCTGATTTTAACATGAATATACATCTAAGACCTCTACAGGGCTTGGCAACAGCTCTTTAATTAAATCTCCACCAGGAGCCACTAAAAACAAAAGATCTTTTCCTTCTAAAAATAATATTTAATAAACACAGGTATACCTTGTTTTAGGATCTGACTGCAGGATTGCAAAGTTGCATCCACTTGGATCTGTGCTGACACTAACAGCTCTATGTGCAAAAGTAAGTTTTTCAAGTCGAATTCTTTCATACACACTATTTATTTCAGAGACACAAGTCACATCTGATGACGAATTATGAAGGCTTGATAAAATCTCTGCTAAAGAGAAAAAATGAATTACCACCAATTGTGGCTTTACTGATACTATTAAAATAATTTAGGAATAAATAGAATAGAAAAGCAACTGGAAAAACATGGAAATATCTTTCATATATATTAAGTCCTTTTGAAGAATACATCCTTTCTTCAACACAACATTTTATACAGGGTGTCTATTCTCAATTATCTATGCTTTAATCTCGTTCAACAAATACATCCTACATATAGCAAACAAAGTTACCTTTCTAAAAAACAAATCTAGTGTTACACTTTTAAAATTCCCAACTTGCATTAAAAATAAATGTATAGTGTCTTCATAATCTATTTGTTTATTTGCTTCCTCTTTCCTCTAAACCCATTCTTACGCTTATTCAGAAAATATCTAAGTGACCAATACTGTGCTACTGTGATATACTGATCATTAGTCTAGTGATACAGTAGTGAACAAGACAGGTTATGTTCTTGCTACATAGAATACATAATCTAGCAGGGAAGACAGACACTGAACAATGATTACATCATTGCAAGTAAAATCAAGTCTATGAAAGCAAAGTATATAATGCGTCTACAAAGACATGAAATCTGTATGTAAAGAAATGATTTTGGCTGTAGTGTAAAGAACATTTAAATAAAGAATAAAAGGTCATTTAAGGAGTTACTTTAAGTCCAGAAAAAGAATAAAAGGCAATATAGACTGAAGTTGTAGCTATGAACCTGGAGAAAAGTGGCAAGATTTAAGAAATAATATTTAAGACAGAGTAACAAAACTTGGTGACTGATTGGATGTACAAGTTGAGGGAATTTGGGTGTTGAAGATAGCCATTAACATCGGGAAGCAGACGCAGGAGCATGAAATCATGATTTAGTTTATGAGATCATGAATTTGGTTTCAGATCACTAAATATGACTAAGATACACTTGTAAAAACCTCCAACATTTACAAGTCAAACCTGCATTCTCATTACTCTCTCAAATTCACTCTATTTCAGCCTTAGGGGACTTAATAATCTTTCCCTGACACTCACTCACTCCAATGTCTACACTCTCAAGAGATGCAGTATGTGCACATTAGCATTAGTCTTGATGAAACATAAATATCTACATACAAGTCTACTGCTCCTACAAGCTTTTAAGTGCCTTAGAACAGAGGCCCATTTTATATATTTTTGCATCATTAAAGCCTTGCCCTGTATCTGGCACATAGTAAATATATCTTAAATATTTACAGACTTGAATAATCTATAAAGAAATAAAAGAAATACAACAAAGCAAAAAATTATTCAAAAACCATTCCACTGTGGCTTTCTGATTCTCAAGAATATGTTTATAATTTTCTAAGTATACACTTACATGTGCCAGGAAATATGTCAAAATGCTAAAGGATATAAGGGAATATTCACAGCCCTTGCCATCACTGAACTTATGACATAATGAGAGGCAGGCATTAAACAAACTAGTAGTAATGGTAAATACATAATGGTAAAACCAAATATTTATCAAATTAAAGGATAGCTGCAAAATACTTTTATGTACTGTCTATACGTATGAACTGACCTTTCTTTTCAGAACTCTTTTTTTTTTCTTCAAACCATTTCCCTCTAAATCCTTCCCCATCCTGTGTGACAAACAGAATTTCCTTTCTATTTAAAGCAATATCAGAAATGAAGACCTGCCGTGGATAGGCCCAGCGACACTGCTTAAGAGAACTGCTGGCTGATCTCCAACAAAACACCTAAAATAAAACCAAGTCACAATGAAATATAAAGCCATGTAGCATGTGAACAACCAAAATCTCAAGTCAAGAGATGACACTGCCAAAATAAAAGCTCTAAATAGTATATTTCAATATTTATTCCTCAAAGAAAAACATAGATACTATAAAAGTAAAGATGATTTGAAAGAACTGTATCTTTCAGAAAAGTATGAGGAGGCAACCCCAAAAAAGAAATTAGTTTTTGGAGGCCAGGTCCCTTGCAGTATAGACTTTCCCCCTAGGTAAGTGTTCTAGGAACCTATCAGCATCAGTTGTTGTTGTGAGAGGCTGCATTCAGCTATAGCCAATTTTTTTACATTCTTCCAATGCCATTTGTCCATTTCATGATGGATGATTTATAAGCACACCTGCCCACATTGAGTGTTCAGCATTTTTTACCAAAAACTGCATGACCCCCGTGACCCACCCTCCATATTCACCTGATCTCACTCCAAGCAACACTTTGGTTACCCAGATGAAAAAAGTCCTCAAAGGGAAACATTTTGCCCATGTGGAAGAGGTGAAATAAAAAACAGCAGAAGCACTAAAATGCATCAAAACTGATGAGTTCAAAAACTGTTTGGAGCAATGGAAATAAGCATCTCAATAGAAGGTGACTGAAGTTGAAACGTAAGAATACACAATTTTTAACAAATAAATTACAGGGTTTTTTGTGCCCCTCTTGTACATCAAGCATTACAAATTATTCCAAAGACACTCCTCTTAAGAAGCAATTTCCAGCATTATTTGTGTGAGGCAAATAGATCTACAATGCTAAAAAAAAACCAAAACACAAAACCTTAAAGCTAAAACTTAGATATCAAGATTACTGTAGTGCCATCTACTTGCAAGAATGAAAAAATCCCATGAAAATCCAAACTTTACTTTCAAGAAAAAAAGTAAATGTATACATAACTCAATTATAGAACTACAACAAAATCTCAGAGACAGAAAAATCATCAGAGAGTTCAATGGTTCCGAATAATTCTGCAAACCACAGAACTCCTGAGAAGTAAGCTCAGAGGACTATTGCTAAGGTCTGGGGAGAATAAGGAGACATGGGGTGATCAGCTACCCAAGCCAGCTTTTATCCAGAACAGCAAATACTTTTGCCTATTTCATATATAGGTATTCTAAGAATAATTTCATTTGAAACATCAGAACTGCTGATTTTTAAAAGTCCAATTTCTCATAATCAAGGTAAGAAAACTAAAGTACAAAAAGGTATCTAACAAAGTCATTCAAAAGTAATTTACTGCCAGGCATGGTGGTTCAAGTTTGTAATCCCAGCACTTTGGGGGGTCAAGGTAAGACCGGCCTGGGCAACATGGTGAGACCTCATCTCTACAATAAATCAAAAAATTAGCCAGAGCATGGTAGTGAGCGCCTGTAGTTCTGGCTACTTGGAAGGTTGAAGCAGAAGGATCGCTGGAGTCCAGCAAGTCGACACTGGGGTGGCCCTGAGCATGCCACTGCACTCCAGCCTGGGCAACGGAGTGAGACTCCAACTCAAAAAAACCAAAAACCAAACCAAAACAAAAGTAATTTACACAAAAAGAGACTATATTGATTGATTCCTTCAGAGCTTGGTTTTCTTAGTAAGACTCTAATTTATAGGAAGTAAATATACAGAAGCAAAAGCTATAACCATATTAATGTAAGTGAATACACATATCAAAGTTAGATATATTTATACTCAACTCTTTTATGTAAGCCCATCTCTTTGTTTGATTCCATTAGTACAAATTAAAGATTTAATGTTAAGCCTAGTTCACTCTATTAAAATTACTGGTCAGGCAAAGATGCTCACGCATATAATCTCAGCACTTTGGGAGTCCATGGCAAGAGGACTGCTTGAGTCCAGGCGTTTGAGACCAACCCAGGCAACAGAGTGAGACCTCGTCTCCATATTTTAAAAAAAAATCAATTAAAAAATATATTAAAAGTTAAAAAAAAATCAACTGCAGCAGTTTATACCTATAATGAACCAGCAAGTGGAGCTTTATGGTTTAACTCCTCAATTTCTAAAATATCAAATTTTATAGCAGTTTATAAAACTCAGAAAATATTTGCTTTTATTTTATAGGCAAAACCAGATAGTTATCTGTTTTTCTAGCCACAGTATATAAGTTTTTATCATTTTATATATATAAGTATATATTCATATATATTCATATATATACTTATATGTACATATTATTTTAAAATACAATTTTAAAAACTAAAATATATAATTTAAATTTTAAAAGATATACTTTACATAATATAAGAATATATTAAAATATAGAATTTAAAATATATTTTAAATTAATAATTTTATTTGTGAAATGTACTGATATGTTTGGAAAAAAAACTAAAAACTTAAAAAGATACCTGTTCATACATTTACTGCAGTGCTATTCACAACAGCAAAAACATGGACTCAACTGTGCTGCCCATCAAAAGTGGACTGGATTTTAAAAACGTGGTATAATACACAATGGAATACCACACAGCCAAAAAGAAGAACAAAATTATGTACTTTGCAGCAACTTGGATGGATTGAGTCTACAATACTCAAGTGACCTATCACAGAAGCAAAGAACTGAGTACCACATGTTCTCACTCATAAGTGGACCCTGAACATTTATCAAAATACTACATGAAAGGGATTGGCAGTAGAGGGACACTGACAAGGAAGGGGACACATACCATCAGTGAGGGTACCTGATCCCAAACCAGGCAAAATGAGGACCAATGGGAGGCTCAAACTTCACCTGTATGATTCACCTTCACCTTTACCACTTATGTACCTACTCCTGAACTGTACCCCACATCTTCAAAATAAAAAAAGTTTTTTTAAAGACGAAACTAAATTAGAACTCCACTTTTTAAAAGAGGTAAGAGATTCTACACACTAGTGGTTCTAGAAATAAGCCATCTTTTATATATATTGTGGATAGTTATAACCTCTACATATATATGTATATAAAACTACATCTGGAAAAAAATGTCCAATTATGCATCAAATATGTAAGACTGACTGCTTAATCTTTGTTTTTAAGAACAGTCACATGATATGTTTCATATCTGTGCAATCCAATACCATTTATCAGTAGTATACATACCAAACAACTCATCAAAATTCCTTATTTTCATTTTAAGCACAACAGAATTTTACATTACAATTTAATAAATTAATACTGTGTGACATTGAATTACATAGTGTCATACTTTCTCTGAAATACCAGCTCCATACTAATTAGTACTCCATACTAATTAGTACTAATATGCTTATTTTTGCATCCAATACTAATCAACACAGTCAATAGCATAGTCACTAATACAGCAGTACATTTTTACATTATCAAGTCCTCTATAGCTACCACTGAGAATAAAATTACTACACCTTTTCATAAAGACATACTCACCCTTCCAGCTCCATCCATTGCAAGAATGCAAATTTTTTGACCCTCATTTTCTCTCAAATGTTCAGGATCAACCTTGTATTCCATACAACCTCCAGACACAAGAACCTTTTTCAAGTTCAGTTGTCTGGATGAAAAAGCAAAATTCTAGATTAATATGCTCTCTAAAATACACATGCTGAATTGTAAAGAAATTACTTACTAAAGAAGTAACAATATATAGATAAATACTTAAAAGGTGAAGTAGAATGGTTTGATCATTGATAAACCAAGTCATTCCATTCTGTAAGTTTCCCCTTCAAGGTAGCTGTTTCTTTCTGTGGCAAGTCCTTCCTTCTCAAAAGTCTTTACACACACACACAAGTAGCTAAAGCCCCACTTGCTAACACACACATTCACTCTAGAGTTTGAATAACTGGTAAGGCTATATGCTCCTAAATACATTTGCATTTTAACAGAAACACACACACACATTTTAAACCTAAAAATTTTAAAAATGTAATTAAAAATATGGCCAATCCTAAATAAACACAGCTACCATGAAAGCCAGCTCCACTGCTTTTTAATAACTCATCCATCAGACACACAATTCCTATATCTGTACATCTGATGTCATAGCATCGTGTGAAATCTCCCTGCAACTACTGCAATAATTGTTCACCCTTTCAAATAGTTTGCCTATATTAGGGAAAAAAAAATTTTCAAAATTACTATATTGTAACAAAAGAATTTTCTTAGTGTAAACTTGGCTATAACTAAGGAGATTTAATGTTACATGGGCAAGTTTTATTTGTAAAATGTACTGATATGTTTGGACAAGAAACTAAAAATTTAAAAAGATACCTGTTAACTAAAAATACAAGCTAACATCACAAATCATCTCAAGCTAAGAAAAAAAAACTCTTTAGTTAGTTCTAAAACACATAAGTTCACGCATTCGTGTTTCTATAACTGAAACATGACCTACATTGAAGCCAAAAGTAGGTTTCTGGTAGTTATACAAAGATAAGTTTTGACAAACTAATAATTGACACTTTCTGCTTACAGGTAACTTCACAGAGGGTATCAGTTCATTAAGTTACAAACTCTTTTACATTGGCAAAAGCAAATTTTGTTGCATTTAAATGTAAATCCCTAATTGCTTTAAAAGTTAAACAGCTATACGCTAGAATTCCTGCACTTGGAAGTGCTTCCACTAGTTGAGCAATACTCTTCTGGAAATCATTTGTATTTATGCAAAGATTTATTTCTTTGCTTATGTTTATTAGTATATTTATAGCAATGAAATATTATATGAATTTTAAATATAAAAAAATTCTACAAAAGTTGAATACTTTGGAATGACAACAAATTTCAGCAGCAAAAAAACTGCTATCAAATCAAATATGGATTAATCAATTACAAAAGATTGAAGACGTACTAAAATTCTAAGATTCTATACTTATATTACTTCACAACTGTTTTTAAGTACTTGCCCCTTAAGTCATTCAAAATAAAATAACAGGTCAGGTTCGGTGGCTTAGCCTGTAATCCCAGCACTTTGGGAGGCCGAGGCGAGTGGATTGCCTGAGCCCGCAGGTTCGAGTCCTGCCCAGGCAACTTGGCGAGACCTCGTCTCTACAATAAAAAATAAAAACTAGCCAGGTGTGGTAGCGCACACCTCTGATTCCAGCTACTTGGAAGGCTGAGGCGGAGGGATCGCCAGAGCCCAGCAGATCAAGGCTGCAGTGGCCGTGAGCGTGCCACTGCATTCCAGTCTGGGTGACAGAGTAAGACTCCAACTCAAAAATAAAATAAAATAACAGATGACACATTATGAGTATAGTTCATATAAATGACAAGAAATTGCCATTGATAGACCTTTCAACATTTAAAACATGACTCTCTGCTGTGACTTTTTGATTAGCTAACCATTAGTTTACTATAATTTGCTTTCAGATATAAGAGCCTACAAAAAACCAAAAAAAATCAGTTAAGTATAAACACTGAGCCTGTATTAAGAGCTCACAGCATATAATTATTTTTTAAGTTAAAAAGAACAAAATAGCCAGGTGCAATGGCTCACACCCGTAATCCTAGCACTTTGGGAGAAAGAAGCAAGAGGACTGCCTGAGCCTAGGGGTTCAGGACCAATTTGGCCAACTTGCCTCTACCATAAATCAAAAAATTAACCGGATGTGATGGTGCACACCTGTAGTGCAGGCTACTTGGAAGGCTCAGGCGGAAGGATCGCCCGAGTCCAGCAAGTCGAGGCTGCAGTGGCCATGAGCATGCCACTGCACTGTGCAACAGAGTAAGACTTCAACTCAGAAAAAAAAGTATAATAATATAAAAAAGACTACACATGAGTCAATCAATACTAATAGTGTCACCAACCCAGAATTACAATTAATCTAGTTCTGTGTACCAGGAAGTATTAAAAAAAGAAAAAAATTCATATAAGTCATATTTAACCTATGTTAAATATAATTCAGAAATACTGTTTTATAACTTACAAAGAAAATTTACATAATTCACTGGATCCAACACAAAAATTCCTGATGTTTTCCTCCATTCAATTTTTTCCATTTGACATTTACAAAACATAGCATAAAGTTAGCATACATTTGCTGGAAGAGTTGATTTATTATTAAAGTTATCTTTCTTTCACAGAAATACACATACTTAGAAGCTATCTTCTTGCACTGATAGTCTGCAAGTAAGTAAATATCTCCCTTTGTGGTAACACAGACTGTGGCTCCATCACTTGCTGTAACCAAAGATAGACCGATGTCCTTATGATGAAGGGCAGAGACTTGACGAGGAGCAGTTACACATTTTTCTCCATTGGGATCTAGTAGATAACCTAAAATATTACATAAATAAACAAGTCACAAAATATCTGTTTTAAGAGTCCATTTTATTTTCCAGATGGTGTCATCAAAGATTTCTTACCCAGTTGTCCACCATTTAGTCCCAGAGTATAAACAGCTTCTCTAGTCCACAAAACTGTATGAAATCTGCCAGCTGCCACTCCAATGATTGTCCTTCCTTTCAAATACTTTGCCTGCATCTATTCAAAAAAGACAAATAAGAGCAATTTTTCAAAAATCCAGTAGACCAACAATATATGGCATACTTCTTGTCTGTGTCCCCGCAAATGGATCTCAGCACTCTACTGAGATCAGAACCCTTCTCAGAACACAAGATGTTCTGTGGTCACTTTCAATCCCAAGTTTTTATCATGCAGAAAGCTGACATGGTATACAAATCAAATCATTAAACTTTTGGCTATGTATTTTTTTGACAAGCAATATGCAAAAGAGGCATTCTCATTCTTATTAGAAAACACAGTACTTTCAAATTGACATATGAGGGTGGAGCGAAACAAAAATCAGAATGTATTTATAAAATATTGTGTATGCATTCTTACATGTTTAAACTTTAATCACCTTCAAAGCACTCTCTGTTTAATGCAATACATCTATTGAGATGATTTTTCCACTGCTCAAAACAATTCTTGGACTCATCAATTTTGATGTTTAGTGCTACTGCTGTTTTGTGTTTCACCTCTTCCACATGGGCAAAACATTTCCCTCTGAGGATTTTTTTTCATCCGGGAAAACAAAAAAAAGTTGCTTGGGGTAGTAAAACCAGGTAAATAGGGAGAAGGGGCATGGGCATCATGCCATTTTTGGTCAAAAACTGCTGAATATTCATTGTGGTGTAGGCAGGTGTGCTAGTAAATTACCCATTATGAAATGGGCAAACACGTAGAAAGAATCTACCAAAAAAATTCACTGAAGCCAAACACAGCCTCTCACAATAATACTAGCTGGTACACTGATGCCAATGGGTTCCCTAAGCCTACATAACCCTAAGCCTAGCATTCTCATATCAAATAAAACAGACTTTAAATTAACAACAGTAAAAAAAAAAAAAACACAAAGATAGTTACTACATCATGACAAAGGGATCAATCCAACAAGAAGACACAATAATTTAAAATATATGTGCACCTCACTCCCATCCACAATACCAACAAAAAAGATGAAATACCTCGGCATCTTCCTAACCAGAGAAGTGAAAGATATTTACAATGAAAACTACAAAACACTGCTCAAAGAAACCAAAGACACAAACAAATGGGAAAAAATTACATGCTCATGGATAGGAAGAATCAAAACTGTTAAGATGTCCATCCTACCAAAGGCAATCTACAGATATGATGCAATACCCATTTAAATTACCAGCATCATTCTTCTCAGACCTGACAATGACAATACAGAAATTCACATGAAAACATAAATGACCACAAATAGCCAAAACAATCCTCAGCAAAAGAACAAAAGCAGGAGGTATCATATTTCCAGACTTGAACCTACAATAGTCAAAACAGCCAGATATTGGTATAAGAACAGGCATACAGACCAATGACACAAAATAGAGATTCTGGAAGCAAAACTTCAATTTCTCAACCAATTCATCTTCGACAAAGCTTCCACTAACAACCACTGGGGAGAGCAGAACTTACTCAGTAAACGCTGCTGGGAAAACTGACCATATGCAGAAGATTAAAACAAGACCCCTACCTACCACCATACACAAAAATCAACTCTAAATGGATCAAAGACCTAAACATAAAACCTCAAACTATAAGAACCTTGGAAATTGCAGGATTCCCCCTTATGGAAATTGGAAGTGGCAACCAATTCCTGAACAAAATCCCAAATACCCCATGCTACAAGAGATAAGATAGACAAGTGGGACCTCATTAAACTGACAAGTTTTGGCAAAGCCAAAGAAACCATCAAGAGGGCAGGGAGACAGCCCACAGACTGGGAAAAAATATTTGCCAACTGCATATCTGACAAAGGCCTAACATCTAGGATCTATAAGGAACTGAAACAGGCCAAAAAGAAAAAAAACAAACAGCTCTATTATAAAGTGGGCCAAAGATATGAATAGGCAGTTCTCAAAAGACGTACAAGCAGCCAACAGACACATGAAAAAATGCTGAGCCTCACTAATCATCAAAGAAATGCAAATTAAAACCACATTGAAATACCACCTAACTCCAGTCAGGATGGCCATCATCAATAACTCAAAAAGCAACAGATGCTGGAGAGGGTGCAGGGAAAAGGGAACACTTCTACACCGTTGGTGGGGATGGAAAGTAGTACAACCTCTGTGGGAAACAGTATGGCGATTCCTAAAAGATCTAAAAATCGATCTTCCGTATGACCCAGGAATTCCCCTTCTGGGAATATATCCAGAGAAACTCAAATCACTCTAAGAAAAAGATACCTGCACACACATGCTTATTGCAGCATTAGTCACAATAGCAAAAATATGGAAACAATCGTGCTGCCCATCGAAAACAGACTAGATTTTAAAAATGTGGTACATATACACAACAGAATATTATACAGTCATAAAGAAGGACAAAATTAGAAACTTTGCAACAACTTGGATGAATTTACAGTCTGTCATACTCAGTGATCTATCACAGAAACAAAGAACTGAGTACCACATGTTCTCACTCATAAGCGGACCCTGAACAATTACCATAATACATTAAGAAAGGAATTGGCCATGGTGGAAAACTGCCAGGGGAAGGAGGTGGGGCACACTTCATCAATAAGAGTACCTGATCTCAAACCAGGTGAAGTGGGGACCAAACTGAAGCCCAAACTTTACCTGTACAATGACCATTTGTACACCTAACCCTGAATTCTACCCATCTGTAAAATAAAAATTAGGCCAGGCACGGTGGCTCACACCTATAATCCCAGCACTTTGGGAGGCCGAGGTGAGAGGATCTTGAATCAGGAAGATTCTTGAATCTTCCTGCAATCTTGAATCAAGAAAAAATATTAACCCTGAACAGACCAATAATGAGTAGCAAGACTGAAATAGTAATCAAAAGTCTCCCAACAAAAAAAGTCCAGAATCTGATGATTCATAATCAAATTCTGCCAAACTTTCAAAGAACTAATACCAATTTTACTGAGCTATTCCACAGAATAGAAGACAATGGAATTCTCCCTAACTCATTCTATGAAGCCAGTATCTCCCTGATACCACAAAAGCCAGGAGAAGAAATAACAAAAAAAGAAAACTACACACCAGTATCTCTGATGAACATAGATGCAAAAACCCTCAACAACACTTTAAAAAAGAAAAATACACCACAACCAAGTGGGTTTTATCCCAAGGATGCAAGGATGGTTCAGCATATGCAAGTCAATAAACGTGATTCCACTGCATATGCAAGTCAATAAACGTGATTCTACTGCATAAACCAAATTAAAAACAAAAATCCTAGGATATTTTCAATAGATGCAGAAAATACATTTGATATAACCCAGCATCTGTTCGTGATTAAAAACCCTCACCAAAATAGGCATAGAGGAAACATTTCTTAAAATAATAAAAGCAATATACTACAATCACATAGCCAATGTCATCCTGAACAAAGATAAGTTGAATGCATTCCCACTCAGAACTGGAACAAGTCAAGGATGTGCATTTTCACCATTCTTATTCAACACAGTAAGGAGTCCTGGCCAGAGCAATCAAGCAAGAGAAAGAAATAAAGAGAACCCAAACTGGAAAAGAAGATATCAAACTACCTTTGCTTGCTGATGATATGATTTTATAACTAGAGAATCCTAAAAATTCCTCCAAAATACTCCTGGACTTAATAAGTGAATTCGGTAAAGTTTCAAGATACAAAATCAACACACACAAATCAGTAGAATTGCTGTTCACCAACAGCAACCAGGCTAAGATCAAGTCAAGAGCTCAATTCCATTTACAAAAGCAGCCAGAAAGCTAAAATATCTAGTAACGTATTTAACCAAGGAGGTAAAAGATCTCTACAAGGAGGACTATAAAACTGATGAAAGAAACTGCAGAAGACACAAACAAATGGAGACACATCCCATGCTCACTGATTAGAAGAATCAACATTGTTAAAATGACCATGTTACCCAAAGTAATTTACCAATTCAACACAACACCGTTAGCAGATTTAGAAAACTACCAACATCGTTAGCAGAATTAGAAAAAAAAAATCTTAAAATTCATGTGGAACCAAAAAAAAGCCAGAATGACCAAGGTGATCCTAAGCAAAAAGGACAAAGCTGGAAGCATCAAATTACCTGGCTTATCAAATTATACCACAAGGTAGTGACCAAAATAGCATGGTACTGGTACAAGAGCACACACAGACCAATGGAACAGAATAGAGAGTCCAGAAATAAACCCTAATGCCTACAACCAACTGATCTTTGGTAAAGCAGACAAAAACATACACTAGGGAAAGGACATCCTATTCCACAAATGGTGCTGGGAAAACTAGATAGCTACATGAAGAAAAATGAAACTTGATTCCAGTCTCTCACTATGTACAAAAATTAACTCAAGACAGATTAAAGACTTAAATGTCAGACCTGAAACCCTAAAAATCCTAGAAGAAAACCTAGGAAAAACTTACAGACATAGGCCTAGAAAAAGAAATTTATGGCTAAAACTTCAAAAGCAAATGCAACTAAAACAAAAATAAATAAGTGGGACTTGAAGTAAAAAGCTTCTGCACAGCAAAGAAATAATTAACAGAGCAAATATGCCTACAGAATGGCAGAAGATATTTACAAACTATATCTGACAAAGGGTCAATATCCAGAATCCATAAAGAACTCAAACAAATCAGCAAAAAAATAAGCAAATGACCTCATGAACAGACATTTCTCAAAAGAAGATATACAAATGGCCAACAAACATATGAAAAAATGCTCAAAATCACTAATCATCAGGAAAATGCAAATCAAAACTACAATGAGATACCACCTTACACCAGTCAGAGTGGCCATAAAAAATCAAAAAAACAATAAATGCTGGTGCAGATGTAAAGAAAAGGGAATGCTTATGCACTGCTGGTGGGAGTGTAAATTAGTACAACCTCTATGAAAACAAGTATGGAGATTTCTCAAAGAACTAAAAGTACATATACTATTTGATCCAACAATCCCCCTACTAAGTATCTACCCAAAAGAACAGATGTCATTATGTAAGAAAGACACCTTGATTCACATGCTCATCACAACACAATTCACAATTGCAAAGATGTGCAAACATCCTAAATGCTCATTAACTGATCACTGGATAATGAAAATGTGATGCATACACACTATGAAATATAATTCAATCATCAAAAGAATGAAATAATGTCTTCTGTAGCAACTTGATGGAATTGAAAAACATCACCTGTGACTGCATGTTCTCGTAAGTGGGAGTTAAACTAAGGATCTGCAAAGGCACAGAGAATGGTATAACGGACACTGGAGATTAAGAAAGGGGAGAGGGGAAGGGGTGGAGGGATGAAAAATCACCCATTAGATACAATGTGCACAGGTGGGGGTGGTGGGGACACACTTCCTCATCACTATACAATGCATCCATGTAAGCAAAACTACTGAAATAAAGAAAATATATATATTTCCATATATACATTAAAATATATATATATATATATATATTTTAAAGACTATCAGACTGGAGACTACTACTTATTATTTGAGAGTAATTCTTTTTTGTTCATTAGTCATCCACAATACAAAGGTAATGAAGACTTAACAAAATAATATCTATCTAATAATGTTAAATCCAGAAGAGAAATTTGACATGTGAAATGTAAAATTTTATTATCTGAAAACACATTTGCAATGGTGATGCTGCTAATAACATTAATTTAGACCAGCAGCCCCAGTTTTCTGTACTAAGACTTCTGTATTAGGCCCATGAAATAAGGGAAAGGGAATCTTCCAGTATTGGTTGTATAAATAACACTTGTGACTTTTCAACACTGACTTATCAAGTTTGACATCTATGCAGAGGCAGATTTAATGAAGCAAATAAAACACAGGTTTATGAGTTCCTCACTTGCATAAGCCCATTTTGTATTGATGTATCTTATATATTTTTTAAAGAAGGGCCTAAAAATTGTTTTAAGTTTCAAACTCAAAATTCCAAACCTTCCTCTGCCTGTGAATATTGAAAATTGAATCTAGGACAGTTTGATGGTTAATCTCCAAAGCTCCAAATTTCCCAAATGCTTGCTTTCTTACTCCAAATAAATGCTAATATGTACTATGCTTAATTTATCCTAGAAAAATAAAGACAATATATAACATTAAAGATGAAGTTAAATAACATAAGTAAAATAAGCTGCTCTGTCAATACCTTATATCTTTGTGTACACACAGGTTTTACAGCAAATAGTCACCTTGTTATTTAAAACAGAGAAGTTTACCTGTCTGGGTACATTACAACTGGAAGGTGGAGGAATGATTCCTAATTGATGAAAAATATTTAGACCAAATGTATAAACACATCCATCTTCAGTTAATACAATAGTATGATCCTCAGCAGCATCCACTTGGGAACAATTATGACCAATGAGTCCTTCCACAAGCCGAGGGACCTACAAAATAAAATTAACAGTATTATAACTTATACAGATTTGCAAATAGAATCTGATGATACATCCAAAAATGGCATGACTGCATTTATCATAAGTAAACTCTAAAGTTCAGCAACTAAAAAAAAAAAATTTAAACAAATCTTTCAGCTTATCAAAGTTTTATTGAAGTTACCCCAAAACAAAGGGCAGATGAGTTTAAAAGGATAAAGTCATTGGTTTATGAACAAAATATATAAGCCCAGTAACACATTTCAGTGAAATAATTCAATTTAACAGAGTATGCTTGAACTCTTACCATATATCAGGTGCAAATTTGTTTGGTATGAATAAAGGGAGCTTTTCAAAGCATTTATTGGTATATTGGAAAAAAACATACAGAATCCATGCGTGCCTTCAATGAGTAACTAAATATACAATATCATGTTTCTTTGGAGTCATCTGTCCTAGGTTCAAATCTTACTTTTGCTACTTACTAGCTAATTGATCTTAATAAAATTTATTAACCTCTCTGCACCTTATTTTCCTCATCTGAAAACGAAGAAACCAATAATTGATTGTTAATACGAATAATATAAATACGTATAAAATGAAAATAATAATACATGTATCTTAGAAGCTGTTGCGAGGCTTAAACGCTTACATATAAAAAGCAAAACAATGCCTGAAACACAATAAGCCCACAAAAAAGGAAGCCATTATCATCATGATAGCATTCCTTCTTTTTAAAAACATCCTTTATTAGATGATAAATATACCAGAAGTCCCCTCAAAAGAAAAATCTTTAAAATACCCTAGTGAGCCAATTTTCTAATTGAGAATAAACTAGGTTTCTTGTAGTTACCACTGAGGTTCAGTAGCACAAAAATCAATTGTGACTAAACAATGAAAATATAAGTTGAATTTTTAGACCACCAATATTTTAACGAGAAGTTAATAACATAAAACCCTGAACTGCTGTAGGGAAAGGGTTTTACAATAAGTCTTCATTTTTTAAATTTTAACTCTGGAAATATTTTTTTCCTCCCTCCTCTACGCTACCCTGGAAATATTTTAAGGCTTATTTATACGTTCTCCTGACTCAATATTTTCTATAAGCAAAATATTATTCTTCTTTAATATTTTTGCATTGCATATAAATCTTTAATTTAAACATAATATACCAGGAAATTGATTTTTTAAAAATCTATTATCAATTGGTGTATTATTACAGTTGAAAAAAAAATTTTAGTTAACTGAATTTTCCAGTTTATCAAGGTTTTACTGAAGTAAACCGCGTAATGACATTTCATTTACCAAGCATGTCTGTTCATCTCCATGGCCTAATCGTCCTCCAGGACCATGACCACAGGTATAAACCTGCCCTTTCTGAGACAGAAAAACTGAGTGAAATTTACAAAGCACCACCTAAAGGAAAACAAGAAAATATCATTAAAATTCCCTGATTAAAATATCTTTTATCTTCTAAAAAAGAAGTGGAATACTGTTAATTGTTTAAAGTGGATAATGAGTACAGGGGAATTCATTAGACTAATCTCTCTAATTTGTACAGTTTAAACTTTTCTGTAATAAAAGTAAAAGTTATATATGTTTTATTTTAAACTTATGTCTAAAAGTTGACATACCAAATAAAAAAGCAAAGAATCAGGCATGTGTCACACTTAGAAGAGACTAAACAAAGGAAAATGTAATTTTTTATCTCTTACTATCCATTTAAATTTTAAGTCTTGAATTGTAGCCAGTTGTTTTCCAACGTCATGAAATAGCAAGCAGCAAGAATTGAACAGAGTGTAATATGAAGCATAAAGATTACCAAAGAATAATATATATTATTAGTAAAAATAGTGGAAATACCTTCATAGTGGGAGGTATAATCCTTTCTTATAGCTCTGGTTTTCTCTAATTCATACCATCATATGGCTTTAAATAATTTTTATTTATTTTCAAGATATTCTCTCCTTCCCACTTCCTTCAGCCTTAACTGCCTCCCTTGCCCCCGATATAAGACTTACATGATCCAGAAGACAAAGATAACTGAAACAGTTGAACTGCATCAGCAGAAAGCAATTAACAGGAAACTATCAGCAGTTTTAAATATGCATATATTTATACCTCCAGGCCACATTTTGCTATTTTCCAGACATCTAGTATTCATTACACTCACTGTACCTTAATACTATCTTAAAATTCTTTTTTCTTATTTTTTAAAATTACTTGCATTTATATTTCTTATGTCATCTGCAAATATTCCTAACCTAGAATATAAAAAGATGAGTTAGCCGGGCATGGTGGCACATACCAGTAGTCCCAGCTACTTGGGAGGCTGAGACAGGAATCCAGGAGATAGAGGTTACAGTGAGTCATGATTGTGCCACTGCACTCCATTCTGTGTGACAGAACACCCCGACTCAGATAGATAGATAGATAGAGATAGAGATAGAGATAGAGATAGAGAGA